AAAGCAATGAATAGTCAGAGATGTCTGCATCGGAGAGCGTTTGATTCCTCTTTCTCTCATTCCTCATACACTTATGTTTATTATTGAGTGCAAATCAGCACTGTCAAAAAAGTGGCAACCTGTGTAAGAGAGCATTAATGGTTATCCATCGGCTAAGAGATTGACGCTGTAGAAGCACTGAGCAGCGAAGGCTGTAATAAATACTGTGTCTTGTGAACGCAGGCACTCGTTCAGAGAAACCAGACCCCTGGGAGCCGTTGCGCCACTTGCAGAGCTGCCAAACGACCATGCGGATGAAATGTACTACTCACCTTTAATGCATTTGAACAAAACTATTTATAATGCTGTCATAAAGCATGAGAGCTCCCACACCACGCACTAAGTATATATGACCTTGGTGCTCACTGTAAGATTCAGAATGGAGTTATGAAAACTCGAAATGTTAATGGCCAAGGGTTAAAAACTGATCTCAAGCCAGTAGCCGAACACACAAGAGTCTTCCAGGAGACAATGAGGTGTGAAGCAGCCGTGCCGATCGCTATCGTGGTAAAACTCAATTCTTTGTATTGTGGCTTTGGCCAGCTAATCTTACACAGCTCATTAAACCAGGCATGGAAACTGGACTCTCACTGGGAAACAATTAACGATAAGACAAAAATGGAGAGAGTGTTTGGAAGAAGAGCATTTCTGTTTTGCAGTTTGAGCAAAGTGATTCTTGAAAACCCCCAGAGTCTTTGTTACCAACTTCAAAATTTTAAAACCTGTCATTATGATGTCTGTCTATCTAACTATCTATCTATCTAACTATCTATCTATCTATCTATCTATCTATCTATCTATCTATCTATCTATCTATCTATCTATCTATCTATCTATCTATCTATCTATCTATCTATCTATCTATCTATCTATCTATCTGTCTGTCTGTCTGTCTGTCTGTCTGTCTATCTATCTATCTATCTATCCATCTCCCACCATCCATCCATCCATCCATCTATCTATCCATCTATCTCCATCCATCCATCTCCCACCATCCATCCATCCATCCATCCATCCATCCATCCATCTATCTATCTATCCATCTATCTCCATCCATCCATCCATCTCCATCCATCCATCCATCTCCCACCATCCATCCATCCATCCATCCATCATTTCATTTTCATTTTCATTTTATTGTTTATTTTTACAGGGACAATGCACAATTAAAAGTAATTGCACCAGAATTAGCTAATAGCTAGTTTACATCTGCTGTCCCTGGGCAGGAAGACAAATAAAATAACATACATTACATATACACCACATGAAGCATCACAGTACATATATGTAGATTATAAAATTTAAAACCAAAATATAAAACAAATAAAGTACAGTTCAGTCATTAGTGGTTGCAAATTTGTTTTGATAGTAGCCAGTGCTTCCATCTATCTATCTATCTATCTATCTATCTATCTATCTATCTATCTATCTATCTATCTATCTATCTATCTATCTATCTATCTATCTATCTATCTATCTATCTATCTATCTATCCATCCATCCATCCATCCATCCATCCATCCATCCATCCATCCATCCATCCATCCATCCATCCATCCATCTCCCACCATCCATCCATCCATCCATCCATCTATCTATCTATCTATCTATCTATCTATCTATCTATCTATCTATCTATCTATCTATCTATCTATCTATCTATCTATCTATCTATCCATCCATCCATCCATCCATCCATCCATCCATCCATCCATCCATCCATCCATCCATCCATCCATCCATCCATCTATCTATCCATCTATCTCCATCCATCCATCCATCTCCCACCATCCATCCATCCATCCATCCATCCATCCATGCTATTCACTGGTGCATCAAACAAAAAAAATAAAAAAGATTTTTTTTAAAACTAAAATAAACTAAAATACATTCGTGTGACTGAAAGTAAATAAAATAAAATAACAAGTTTATTTAGATGCTATCACATCCAGTACATATTTTAAAAGATCTGACAAAGCAATGTTTACACCTTATGTTATATCATAATGAATGATTTCAACCAGAAAACATGTACCCATGTTTCTCACGGCTCTTTCACGACACATCTGCCTCTGCTGTCATAACTAGTGGGATCGGCAGGAGTCTTGGGGGAAGGTTAAGCCTTTTTTCCCCCCAGCCTTATGATGTCAGAGATGTTACCGAGTGTACGTGAGGGCATTACAGAAACACGAACACAACAAAGTCAACTGTGTCCCTGAGACAGATGCACAGTCTGATTGTAGATGCACATGAAACTATTGTAATCTCACAAGACACAAATATTCACCGTTTGACCCAAGAAACCTTCATCTCTGTTTTCCATGTACGCTCATTTGTTAGTCCTGGATGATGTATGAAGCACTGTGGCTAAAAAACGCTTAGTGAATGCTTAGCAAAAATAGATTACTTGTCGACGGCAGCATTGCAGAGTTTGTTCAACTCCTGAGAGAGCTCAACAACACTGATGCAGTTTTCTCAGAGATTGCAGCCTCTCTTTAGCAAAGATCACACTGAATTTGCCCTCTGACCTCTGTTATTGTCTGAGGGACATTAGGCAAGTCCTCACAATACAAATCTGAGCTTGTAGTAGACCTCCAAAACAAAACAAGGAACCTTTAAAATCACTCAGGACCCCTATAAAGTGATTTTAAAGGTTCCTAGTTTGGTTTTGGAGCTTTTTGGAGGTCTTTGCTTTTAGGTTTACATGCATCCGAGGTCAAAAAACACTTTCATTTTCTTATATATACATTGCACATCACCTCATTTAATCAAAGAATCTGAAAATGGTTAGTTTGAAGATTCAGTCTCTCTAAACCCCTCCTTTCCGCAAGCCTACTCTGCTCTGATTGGTCAGATAGCCCAGTCTATTGTGATTGGTCTACCGCTTACAGCGCACACAGGAAACGAAACGGCCATTACCATATCTGAATTTCAGCTCTGAAGGCTTCCTCAGCACTTGATGCACAGTGATATGAATAGTACCAATGGCATCGGTTTTGCTGCATCAATTCGAGCCGAGTCTTCATCCTTTGCAGAGTGGACTAGTTTTCGCAGCGTAGAAATGGCTATGTCGACAACACGAACCAAAGCCTTCCAGGTCTCAGCTACAATTTCAGTGTTACATTCGAAAATATTCAAAAAAGCATAATAGGCGGAGTCTGTTTAATGAGTATTGATATGGTGCCACTAAAATAAAGGCCTGAGTCTGGGACATTAGTCATGTTTCCATCTAAAATTGCGAATTTAATGTGCAAAATTGGAATATTGCATTAAACATTTGCAAATAAAGCACCGTATCCATCCAATGTGTTCCAACAAAATCATCACTTCCTGTGAAATTGGCACAAAATATATATCATAAGAATGGAAGTTGGTGCAATCGGGGATGCTACTGAGGCTAGTTTTTCTTAAATCATAAAGCAGACGAAACGTAATAAACGCTGTTATATCTTGCGTTCGGATGCCTGGTGTTTGGGAACGCAATCATGTGAGATGCTTCTGGGAAGTCATTATACTAAACCATTTTGATGACAGACTTTGGCCTAGGCATTTCAGAACGACCAAACCAACATCTGAGATGCTGTGCGATGTGATTGGTCCAGTTATCCAATCAAATCCTCAGTTGAGGCAAAGTCAAGAGTTTTATGTTGCACATTTTTTAGAACTTGCGCATCTTGGCGTTTCCATCGAGTGTTTTTTTTTTTTTTAATGCAATATCCCAAAAGTGGGATGGAAACATAGCTACTGTCATGCTCACAAAATTCACCAGGGGGCACATTGAATTAAACCTGAAAATATTACATAGAAAGAATGAAAAAGTACTTTTTTGGGGTAAAACTAATTTTTTGTTGTCTTTGGCATTTACTCTAATAATGCGCCATCACAGAGATGCAAAAGCACATCGCAGTTTGATTCTGTGTGTATGTGTGTTTCCTGGACGCTTTTTCCCCATGAGGCCTGTTTTTAAGACTCAAGCTGCACAACCTTTCATTGCTTGGCCAACAATTATGTCAGCGTTTCTTTTGTTTAACTGTCCTCTTATACATGAGGCCATATCACAAGAAGATTTATTCAGGCCTTTTTCTTTCATAGCAGCCAACTGTTGGCAGAGAGCTATTGATTTGTCCTTTCTTGGAAAGGCATTCACTTGCTGAACTTACCGTTAGTCACTGTCTCCATTAGGAAACAATAGGACTGTAGGAGACAGTAGGAAGTATACTAATATAATGCACTAGAAGTATACTTGTAAGGTAATGTTTCAATTCTACTTGGGACAAAATTGCCCCACTTTTTAGTATACTTTCAGTCTAAGGGCGTTTTCCTTCCTGGGGCGACATTTCATTCAGTACTGTTAGGCAGTTTTGATTTATATGCAGTTATAATTTTTGATTTGAAACAATGCTTCTTTTTCACCTGTGTTTTGATCCAGAGATTCTGTACTATTTCAGAAAAAATGCGTAATAGCAACGCCTTAAAGGAGTAGTTCACTTTTGAAAAAACTTTTGTTGATAATTTACTCACCCCCATGTCATCCAAGATGTCCATGTAATTCTTTCTTCAGTCGAAAAGAAATGAAGGTTTTTGATGAAACATTCCAGCATTTTTCTCCATATAATGGACTTCAATGGGAACCAAACGGTCCAAGGTCCAAAAGACAGTTTCTGTAAAAACTGGGCTTTAAACGATTCCAGACGATGAATAAGGGTCTTATCAAGTGAAACGATCGCTCATTTAATAAATAAATAACAAAGTTTAAGTTTTATAAGCTCAAATGCTCGCCTTGCTCTGTTCTGTGATGCACATTTGTGACTCTCCTGTTCGAACTCGTTCATCAAAATTATTGAACCTTTTTGAATCGGTTCATTCAACAAATGAAACGAACGAATTGACTCGGAATAGCAACGTAAACTTAAATATAATGAAATATGAAATATAATAATCCTGCTGTGGTGGAGGTTTACCTGTACTCTGCTCTGCTCCAAAGCTTTCTCCAGTTCCTGTTTGGCAACAGCTGTTTCCTGTTGATGGGTCTGACGCATGTGTTCAATGGCTGATGCGTGGAGATGGTTCAGCTCTGAACGCAGTGATGCTGAGAAGAGAAAAAGAGAAAGAGAGAGAGGCACAGGGAATGAAAAACAAGACTATTCCAGGGAGATGAACTGCTGTCTGGCGCTGAATTAAACATCATTCATCTCCAACTTTCCCTAAAGCACAGGTGGAAATGGAAGTGACACTCATTCCCCTATCTGCAATTTCCTTTCCACACCGTCTCATTACTCTGCTTTCCAGTTTCTTCCAATTATAACGTATTTCAATGAGATTGAGCTATAATTAGAGCTCTAGATCTCTCCAGGACTTAAAATGTAGGATTTAAATGTACTTTAAATCAAACAATTTCTAAAATTATCAACAAAATGCTAAATTATGAACATACATGACACAGAGTGAATAAGGAAACCATTTTGGTTTCTAATTGTCTCTTGATTCTGCAGCCAAAAAGTCTTTTGGTTAAAATTATATTTACTAAACTATTTCTTATTTTAGTTTTAGTTTTCCCAGCTTCCGGAATCTCAATCATGACAGATATATGGCATATATACTGTATGTGATGCACATCTTAGTGAGTTTTTGAGCTGATTGCAAGATAAGTATAAGTTGAAGCAACTTTAATGCAGTTTAATTACATTTTAATTTAAACTTTGGAAATCATGCAATATGTGACATCATATTTCCAATTTGCCATTTGAGTTACAGAAAACACTTAAACATATTTGTAATTTCCTAAAAATTTTAGACAAACCAAGTCTCCCACAATGCATTTTCTGTAGGTCTTTCTGACTCAAATTGGTTTAGCTATTTATAGCTTGAACAATGAAATAATAAAATAAAAGAATAAAGTGAGAAAACATCTAATGTTGCTGTTCTTTTATAAACAGGTTTTTAAAATAATAGTTCCATTGTGAAAATTTATATAAGAATTGAATTTCTATAAGCAGTAGGAAAATATTCAGCTTTTTGCACTTTTTTTTATCGTGCGAGCTGCTCCTTCTGACAGGCATTATTATGGTATATTACAGATATTGACTCCACCGTCTCTGCAAATGGATCTGATTCATTGCTAAAGATTGCATTCGAACTAAAGTAAATAATAAAACAGGTTCTGTAGAGTTTTTACAGCAGGTGTGTAACAGAATGTGTGTGAATTAGTGGCTGTTCTAACCCAGCATGGCCTTGCCCTCGTCTTCCAGCTCGAAGCGAAGGGTCTGCAGTTCTTGCTCTGACTGCTGTTTTAGAGTCTCAATGTTCTGCCTGTGAGCCTCCCGCAGAGTCTGAAGCTCCATGTGATGCTGCTGCCGGAGACGCTCCTCCAGCTCCTACACACACACACACACATCAGTACATCAGATCAGTTTATTTTTCCATGCACCATTTGGTTCATATCAACACAAGTTACAATAGGGGAAAAAAGTAGTGCTGTCAAATGAATTAATTGCGATTAATTGCATTTAACATAAAAGTTTTTAAACTGCAACTATATATCTTATGTTTGTATATATAAATTATATACAAACATACATGCACACACACACACTACTTTTAGTAGTGTGTATATCTATCTATCTATCTATCTATCTATCTATCTATCTATATATATATATCTATATATATATATATATATATCTTAAACATAATATCTTATGTATCTTATGTATATATAAACTATATACAAACATGCCTTCATACACACACACACACACACACACACACACACACACACACGCACACACACACACACACACACACACACACACTGCTTTTAATGTGTGTGTATGCATGCAGGTTTGTAAACAGCTTTGTATAAGAGTTTAAGATATATATATATATATATATATATATACACACACACACACAAAAAAAACTATATTATATTTACAAACTTGTATGTAAGATGCAATTAATTAATCTGACAGCACTAAAGAAAATCAACAGATTTTGTTTTCATCTGTTGCCTTTCCATGACAGCTTGAGTATGCAGGGAAAAATGTACAAAGTAAATGAGAAATAGTTTAGATTTTTTTTTATTACCACACGACCTTGGTGTTTTTCAAAAAAAAAAAAAAAAAAAAAAATAGTAAGTAATTCGGCCAAGAATTTTTAAGTGGTGGCAGATAACCATGTTGAAAATACCTTATGTCCCCAAGAGAAACAATTACCTTCCAAATAGGGCTTAAGATGGTCTTTTTTTAACAAGGTTAATGAAGAATTGTGACAGGTACACCTGCAAAACTATGCATCACAAGAAAAGCAGCACTTAGCCAGAAACTCAAGCATAAATCTAATGTTTTTCAAACAACTGCGAATCAGAGGAATTATTACTCTATCAGAAGGCACTTAAGCATCTCTGCAAACTTATTAAGGATCTTGGATGACTGCCGTCTCCTGTCTAGCCAGGGCAATGCAAATGAAAGCACCCTGAATTAGATTAAGAGAATGAAGCTGTTTGAGTGCCGGTGATACACTGGCATAATGGCGGATAATGCAGGGCACCAGCCTCTACTGAAACACACTTTGGAGTCAGTGATTTCCAGCAGAGTGGGTGCGGATGGGAGAGGAAGTGGGTTAGGGAATGACAGGGGACGCAAATTAGACCAACTGCTTCAGTAAACACTGACTGTTCTGAATGCTGAGATCACAATAAAACAACTGATGGGAAAGATCATTGGAGCCGAATAGAGACATGTAAAAACATACCGACATGGTCTTTAACAGCTTTGTCAAAGATGTGTTTTAAAAAAAATCAATATAGCCTTGAGAACATTGCAAACAAATAATGGTACACTTAAAAAAAAAAAAAAATCGATATTTCATCTGGTTTTCAAGTAAAAATATCAAAACATCCATAAAATAATATATATTTACTTGAGGAGAAAAATTGTGTTAGATATTTTGAGATGTTTTTGTATATTTTTCTTACAATATAATCAATACAATACAATATAATATAATACAATATAATATAATAATACTTACAGTATAATCATTATATATATATATACACAGTATATATCATTTATTTCTAAATATTTTTTTAAATGAATGACAAAGTATAAAAAATTATATATATATATATATATATATAATTTATTTCTAAATATTTTTTAAAATGAATGACAAAGTATAAAAAAAAAACCATTTCTGAAACTTTGAGATGTTATATTGCCAAAAGGTGAAGTGAAAAGCACTATTTAATGCTTATTTTTGTAGCATTTCAACAAGTACATATAAAGGAGATAAGGGATGACAAGAAAGTATGGTCGTGAAGGAGGAGGAATACAATAGGGAATGTTGTGAGTGGGATTTGCCAAACTAAACACTATGCTATTCAAGGTATTTTTTTCCAAGGCTCTGTTCCTATAAACAGCGTTTTGTGTGTGCAATATCTGTGTGTGCTAGTATCTCACTGTTAGCTTAGCTAATGTGCTAACATGTGCTAACATAGCCATAGCTTATGTGCTAACATCAGCTAACTTCATGCTAGGCAGCAGTCAGAAAGGTAGTTTCAGCTAGTTTTAGCTAAAACAGTTTTTGCTTACACTCATTTACTAATGAATCAGTCAGGCGGCATATTGTGTCAAGTGTGTCACTGACACATTTTTTGCTAGATAAAAACATGCTAGTGTCAGTTTTCTGTAGCGTAAGCCGACTCGATGCATCCCGATGGCTCTGTAAATCTGAAAAGGTCAGGTCATTTCCGTCATTCACACAACTGTCATGGACAGCCCGAGCAGAACAACACACACTTATGAGAAAAAAAAACATCTACAGAAGGATGCTTTTCATCTGAATGACTACGCCAGTCACACATAAACATGCAGAGTTGTGATGTTTCTCACTTTAATGCCATAGTGCCATTTTCCCGTTCCCGAGTGCTACGAGAGTGATGCCCCATTCCAAATGTGGAAATGAATCTGGAGTGGTAAAAATTACACTTCGCTTCTTTCCCTGCCAATAAATCTTGTGCATGAATTAGTGAGTTATTTTGGGATTCAACGCACTTACAATGTTCCCAGATAAGTGAGAGAATCCCACTCAAACAGTGAAACACAGAAAACAACCCACTAAATGCAAACCTTTTATAGTGATAACTATATTAAAGCCAATTGGCAATTGGCACATGGCCAACTAACTTTAATAGTATGTAAGATTTTTTTATGTTAAAATACATTTCCTAAACTCAGTTTACTGTTCTATTGGTACGCCATTCACGGGTTTATCTCCCCCAAACGTAAAAACATTGAGCCACTCAGGCACTATCTAACCATTGAGAGTGGTCTGCTCAGACCTCTTTCCAGCTTAGCCAATATAGTGCGAGTTTGGCTACTGTAGGAGGCGAAGCCAGGGGGTGTTTGGCTGGAACGGGACCATTACTGACAGGTTAGATGGGAAAAATACAACCAGCTTGAGGTACAGAAGTGCAAGCCAAATCTTGCTGCATTTAGACCTTCAAAGATTAAACAGGTCATGGAAATGTCAAAGGGAACGTGGCATTGCAAATTATTACTGATATTACTATTAATAACAACAGAACACAAACAAATAAATGAACATATAACTAAATATAATTGTCAAAGAAGTAATCTAGTAAGTTCTCTAGAATTTCACTAAATGCTATCCCAGATAGCAAACTGACATTGAATCAACGTGGAAACATGACATCGAAACAACAACGTTGATCTGGCATTGTTTATCTCATCGAATTAACGTTGAACCAACATCAGACGCGGCATTCTTCAAAACTAAAGAAAAATCAACTTGAAATCAACGTTGTTTCGATGTCATGAGAGACGTCGTTTCCACACTGATTCAATGTCAGTTTGCTGTCTGGGATACTATGTATATGTATTTTTTTATCTCAAATACCTAAAGGATGAAAAACAACAAAAAAAAAATGGTTTGAGAGACCCTTAGATCGTATTGAAAGGTGGGAAACTGTGATCAATATGAGTGAAAGCTGGCTATAACCCAATATAAGATCTTTGAAATGTCTTACCACTGGCCTTATGGCCAGGGTAGGCAGGATATAAAACGTCTCTCTGGTGTCTTCTGAAACTAGATTGATATAGCTTCGGTATGCACTTAAAGTAGTTTACACCCTCATAAAAGTTCTGGAGACTGGCTATTTGTTTTCATTTCACTGAAAGCAATTTTTATGACGCTTTATGTCAGGACTACTGAAAGCTCAGGGGCCACAAAACAGACGACTCAATAGGCCACACACCTACTTCTCACAGTGATTGTTATAGTAGAGGACTTCACCACTTTTGAATAGGAAACAATATCAAGTCTATAAAACTCATCTAAACTCAGTGAATCATAACATCGTATCGGTGAGAACACTCGTTTGAGCGGCACAAACACACCCGAACTTGACTGCACATCACTTTTGTGACATTATTGATACTGCTTTCAATCATAATGAATCAGCTGTTTACAGTGTCATACAAAACAAAAAACCTGTGGTGGACTTGTGTTCAGGAGTAGAGCGGCTGCGGACGATTTTTTATTTTTTTTGAGCGGCATCGGACAAATTCTTTCTACACACACTCATAATGTGACATGACACTGTCTAAGTATATTTAAAATACTTAATTTAACATATAAATAACACTTTTTAAATAGCCCACTTAAAGTGTTTATAACAAAAAATTAAATGTAAATGAACAAAAATTTGCGTTGCATTTACAGCACCCCACTTCCCGCGCAAATGACTAAATGCCCTGTATTATGCATGCCACGGCAGTAGTTGGCGATGTCACTTTGTAAAGAAACTATGTGCCTATAGACGGAACACGTAATACACGTGCACAACGTCACCGTTTTCAAAAAGTCGCGTTTTTGTTGTTTACAAAAGACGATAATTGTTTCGTTTTTCTTTTTACTTGTACTTCGCAACCCATTCTCCAAAGCTTGCATATTCAGGCCCCCAAAACGGCCACAAAGCATAAAAAATTCAGTTTTTAGTTGAAAAGGGTGTCATGTAAACAGCCCCTTAATATACAGTATATATATATATATATATATATATATATATATATATATAAATTAGAGCCAGACCGATATATCGGCAGGCCGATATTATCGGCCGATACTAGGCATTTTCCAAACTATCGGTATCGGCAGTTATAATGGCCTATAAATGAATATTTAAAAAATAAAATAAAAAACGTTGTTACAGTGTAGTTGACTGACTGTCCTTTTAACTTTTGACAATGTGACTTAAGTATTTCTTTAATAGCACATGACAGTTATAGCAATGAGACAGATAATCTCTCCTTGGCCTGTTATATTGAAAATGTATATTTTACAATTTGCACTATGACGTTATCCATTGCTAAATTATGGCTCATCATAGACTAGCTAACCACAAAGCTAGCTAATGCCACAATCATCAGTGGAAGACCGCTAACGTTAACATTAACGAGCTTTGGTTCCTCTGTCCTGTTGCGACAATAAAAGAAACAAGTTTCTTTTTAAAATGCATTATCATATTATTTTAGTTAAAACTCATACATAACTACAAATAACTAATGTTAGGGAAATCTGTTAATGTTTTGTTGCGCGTTTCTGAAAAAAAATAATAAAAAATATCGGCCGATATATCGGAATATCGGATTTTAAAACCAACAAATATTTGTATCGGTATCGGTCTTCAAAATCCTTTATCGGTCGGGCTCTAATATATATATATATATATATATATATATATATATATATATATATATATATATATATATATAAATGTTTGTAAACAAACACAGTTTTTGAGGAGTACGCATGTACATAAATGCGTCATCAAATGCAATCATTACATAAAGCAAAAACGACAGGGAAACATAAACAGTGAAGTAGTCCTCGTCCTCCGTTACAGCAGCATGTCAGAATAAATACGTTGTGAAAAAAGCTGCTGACTTAATGAACCGCATGTATCCTCATAAGAGTATGCAAAATACTGCACGTTAACGTGAATAAAAACATTAACAGATTAATTATAATAATGTGAAATACATTAATTGTTACTATTGCTCCAACAGCTGCAGCCCATGACATCATTAAAGGCAGTCCTATATTGTTGATCGATGCATCACCACGATGCATCACACTATGGTGGTTAAGCAGCGAGTCACGTCATTGTATGGGAAAAGCACCCCAGGGTGTTACTGACAGACTGGGAGGAGAGGTGCTGCAACAATGTTAAATGTTTTTTTGTTTTTTTTGAAGCATTAAAAAACCTATTCAAGTAGACTCCAAACACAAAATCAAGATGTTGTAATAAGGCCATAATAGGTCCTCTTTAAAGACAAAAGACTTGCAAATAGGTAATAGATTCTAAATATGTTTGGATGAGCCATGTTTGAAGAGAAAAAAAAAGAAAAAAATGAAGGTCCGGAAAGGGCAGCTCTGAAATTCCCAGGTATCTTCACAGTGAGTCATCAGGTCCATATGCTCTCGGCCGGTGTGCTGTTGAGGATTGGCATACACATGCCTTTTACCTACTGTGGCAGCTGCGGGATTTTCGCCTGTTCTTTCCGGCTGGCTAAAAAGCAGTGCTTGATATCAGCAAAAAGCTACAGGAGGGAGCTGAGGTGGATCTTTTTGCCTGTTGGAGCGAGATATATATCAGATGGAGAAATCGCACATTCATTTTAGTCTCCTAGGACGGAACGGCGAGTGCTAAGACTGACGCTGCCTTTCTCCTCCGCAGTGCTGTCGAGCCTATTAGCAGCAGAGAAGCGTTTCTCAGCCTGACTTCAAAAGAGCCCTGCTCAATATTGACATGCCGGTGAGAGAGAGAGATGGTGATGCGGTTGGTGTGAGATTATCACAGGGTGCCGCATCACACTGAACCACTGATGATAATTAAACACAAGTCAATAAATCGGCTCCTGGAGTCTGCACGTCTACCTCGAACATGGTGCTCTGGAGCAGAAAGTTATTAAATGAGATTTCATAACCATACTGTTGGATCTCCACTCATTACACCAATGAAACGAGGACAAGAGGGCTTATTTTAATGGCAAGGCACCTGGGTAAAACTCATAGACTCTACAACAATTACAATTGCTCTTGGATCTTTTTCATATTTGCCTGTGCTGCTGGGAAACTCATCAACATATGAACTACTGCTGTGTATGATATCATAATCCATTATGTCCACAATGCAACCATAAACCAACCATTTGTAATCATTTCTGTATATAACCACTGCTAACATGGATGTTTTTTTTTGACAATTAATATATATAGACTAAAAAATAGATATCAATATGAATAAGCAATATATTATTCGCTGACAAAAGGGACACTTATATTATGATCATGAAAACCAAAGTTGATCTGATAATTCATGCATCCCTCATTAATTTATGTGTCAAATTAGTGATTTTTAATCAGTTAGCTTCCAGCTCCAATTAAATCAAACAAATTGATTTCATTTTAGCATTACTTTTGACACGTTTCATAGTGATCCAATTAAGTTAAAGCCCCTCTGTGGTGAAAATCAAGTTTTTAATGTTTTTTATATCTATATATGGTGTTTTTAATATGCTTTAAGACAAACCATGAGCAAATTCATCAGTCACCAGTGCTTTTAAAACTGCAGTGAACCAAAGACAGTCTAAAAAAACACAATTTGAAATTTCTGGTGTTTCTGACATCACAAACTACCTTGTATCCAATCAGTAACTCCTGCGAAGCATGGGAGTCTCAATCCTGGTATATTTTTCTGTTGATATGAAAAATCATAACCCATGACTAATTAGAATCAAATCATTAACAAGTCGTGATAATAATATATGAAGAGTTCAGATGCAAAAGCCTCTAAATGCCATTTGAAATTTTCTTCTTTAATGATGGTTTTTATCAAACTTGTATATTTAAGTTCAGTAATTTCACTTAAATAACAATTAATAGGTAATTATCATTGGCATTTAAGTGAAATCACTGAACTTAAATATAAAAGCTTGATAAAAATGATCTTTCCAGAAGAAAATTTCAAATGGCACTTAGAGGCTTTTGCATCTGAACTCTTCATATGTATACATAATTAATATTCATGCCATTTCTTGGCATCACAACAAGCCAGCCTGCGCCGTCCAACTGTTTCCACTAGTTCTTAAACTGTGAAGTAAAGCCTGCCATTCTGACTGACGCTGCATTTGGCGAGTCAATCTCGACCTATCACCAGTCATTCAAGCAGTATATCCCCGCTGTCCCCCGCTCGCAGCCTTCATCTTCAGGCCTGTGGTGTGGAGCCACTTCAGCCCAGCTCAAGGCAATCATTTCCAGTCAGACTGAGCGTTTCTCTCCCCTGGAGTCATCAGGGCCAAGCTACTGGATAAAGCAGACATTACAGCCTGTGACAGCAAGCGCTCAGCCATTACTAACCTACAGACAGGAGAGCTGAGAGTGTGCAGGTTATTGCAGGATCTGGGAAAGGATGGACCTGAGAGATGTGCTGTGGGCAGAGCTGGATCTGTGGCAGATCTGCCTTACCACATCAAATCTATTGGGGGACAGAAAGAGGCTCTCGCATGAGGGCAAACGAGGGCTAAAGGACCATTTTACCAGTGGACAAATAGGCTGAAAGGATTAGAGTCAGAAATTGCTTGGTTGCCTCTGTATAAGAGCTTCAACAGCAGCTGAAGGTTGGAGTCGACGTGATCTCATAAAGTCTCATCCACAATCCACAAAGACTGAAAACTGATACTCGCTAAGCACCAGATAGACATAAAAATGACTTTGGCGGGCAAATAAAACAAGTTACTCATCGGTGGCAAGTAACTTCACAAAGAAACTGCAATGTGATACATGGTTTAAGCCAAACTGTAACAATATAGTCTAATGCTTGCAACTGTAACAATATAGTCTAACTGATGTAAGAAAGAAAAACAACTAAATTCAAAGCCATACAAACTCACTCTCAGAAAAAAAGGTACAAAAGTTGCCACTGGGGCTGTACCTTTTCAAAAGGTACATTTTTGTACCCAAAGGATGCATTCTGGTACCTTAGTGGTACATTTTAGCACCTAAAATGTACAGATTAACACCGTAAATGTACATATTAGTACCTAAAATGTACACATTAGCTCCTGAAATGTACATATTAACACTTAAAATGTACATATTAGGACCTAAAATGGACATATTAGCACCTAAAATGTACATATTAGGACCTTTTACACCATACCACAGGTGTAAAAGTTAATCCTTTTGTCATAATGACAAAAATACAAAGGTGAAATTGTAATGAAATGGAAACAGTGTTGGGGAAAGTTACTTTTTAAAGTAATGCATTACAATATCGCCTTTCACCTTAAAAAAAACTAATTGGGTGGGAAAGAAATTTCAACACTCTATAAAATAATATAAACAAATAATATACACTACACTAATAAATAAATATACACTAATACATAAATAAACAAATTTGATGTTTATCTGAAGTCCTTTTTGCTAATTAGAATGGGTCAGCAGCAAAGAAATTGGCTATTAAAGTGAAATTAAATACATAAAGTATACTATCTATCTATCTATCTATCTATCTATCTATCTATCTATCTATCTATCTATCTATCTATCTATCTATCTATCTATCTATCTATCTATCCATCTATCTATCCATCCATCCATCCATCCATCCATCCATCCATCCATCCATCCATCCATCCATCCATCCATCCATCCATCAAAAATCTGTTAAACCCGTATGTCACAAAAGGGTAGAAAAAAATATTGCAACTTGCCAACATTAAAGAAGTGTAAAATACAGTTTCTTGCTCAGTGACAAATATTTATATTAAGTAACATTAAGTTACATCTGGCCTCCTGTGCACAATACCATTTCAAAACATAAGCTAAAAATATATCAATAAAAAGAATGTGTAAAAAAATAGCATAGATCAGACAGTCCGTGGGGAGAATTATCTGAAGCTGAGATAAGAGTGTATGTGGAACAGAGCCATCAAAACTCAAATAACAGAGAGCCAAGAGGTGAAAGGAAATGATAAGAGCACACACATTACAGGTCAGAGGGGGAGACAGGTGGCAGAATATGTCACCTTGAGGTCGTGCTGACGGGTCTCCTGCATGTCCTGTACAGCACAGCAGTGAGCCTCCCTCAGCCGCTGCTCCCTGCGCTGATGCTCCAGCTCCATCTCCTGCAGCTGCTGGCCCAGGTGCTCTCGCTCCTGACTGAACTGGGCCTGCAGCTGCTGCAGGGAATGCTGGGACTGGGAAAGCTGCATCTCCAGGCTCTGTTTCAGCAAGGAAATCTGCACATAGAGAGAAAAAAAAAAGAATCAAAACACTTTGCAGTTAAATGTTATAGGCTTTGACCCTGGACCACAGAAGCAGTCACATGGATCTTTTTTTTTTTTTTTAAACTGAGATTTTTACATCACATGAATAAGCTTTCCATTGATATATGGTTTATTAGGATGGGACAATATTTGGCCAAAAATTTGGAATCTGGGTGAAAATATTGAGAAAATCGCATTTAAAGTTATCCATTTATGTTTGCGATTGTGCTGCATTCACTCACAAATATTAATGTTTTATATATTTACAATAGGAAATTTGCAAAATATCTTCATGAAACATGATCTTTACCTAATATCCTAATGATTTTTGGCATAAAAGAAAAATCGATAATTTTTGACCCATACTACTGTATGTTATTGTTGGCTATTGCCTAAATATACCCATGCTACTTGTGACTGGTTTTGTGATCCAGGGTCACATATATATAAAAAATAAGAAGAAAATGACAATAAATAAATAAATAAATACATAAAATATAAATAAAATTAAAATTTTTAAATTAAAATAAAAAACTATAAAAACAAAAAAAGCTTATTAAAAAATATAAATGATACTATAATGACTGATGAAAACCAACTGACCCTAAACCATAACAACAACTCTAAAAAAAATTATTATTTAAATAATAAAGATAAAAGATAAAATAATATACAATAAAATTTGTGTTTGTATAAAATTGTAATCTTCTCATTTATGCTTTTTAAATTCTCCAAAAATGTTGGCCCCATTCACTTGCATTGTAAGTTTCTTCACCATACAGTAACTTAAAAATGAGGGATGAGTCTAAATTATTTTGGTGGTAATAAAAATAATGTCACAAACGCTGTTGATTAAGCTTAAAGCATATTGAAACTGGAATATTTCTTTAAGTAAGCAACAGTAATTGTGAAGCTTCACTTAGCTTCACTTCACGTCAGTAGACTATGGAGTACCGCAAGGATCGGTTTTAGGCCCTCTGCTATTCTCAATATATATGCTGCCACTTGGTAATATTATAAGAAAACATGGAATTAATTTCCACTGTTATGCTGACGACACTCAATTATATATTTCATCACGACCAGATGAAAACACTAACTCATCTAAAATGACAGAGTTAAGATATAAGATATAAAAATGCTGGATGACGCGTAATTTCCTGCTATTAAATTCAGATAAAATGGAGGTATTACTTATTGGTCCAAAAAACTACTCACAAAACCTCTCACAATACAACTTTAATATAGACGGATGTCCTGTTACTTTATCCACTACAGTAAAAGACCTGGGTGTTATACTAGACCGCAACTTGTCGTTCGAAAATCATATTTCATATGTTACAAGAACAGCCTTTTTCCACCTTAGACACATTGCTAAACTACGTAACATGCTATCTATTTCTGATGCAGAAAAATTAGTTCACGCATTCATGACCTCGAGACTAGATTACTGTAATGCTTTATTAGCCGGTTGTCCTGCATCCTCAATAAACAAGCTACAGTTAGTACAAAATGCAGCTGCTAGAGTTCTTACTAGGTCAAGAAAATATGATCATATAACACCGATTTTATCATCTCTACACTGGTTACCTATTAAGTTCCGCATCAACTACAAAATACTACTACTGACCTATAAAGCTCTAAATGGTTTAGCACCTATGTACTTAACGGACCTTCTTTCGCCCTACAATCCACCGCGTTCCTTAAGATCACTAAATTCAAGGCTTCTGGTCATTCCTAGGATATCGAAGTCCAGTAAAGGAGGGAGGGCGTTCTCGCATTTAGCTCCAAAACTCTGGAATGGCCTTCCCGATACGGTCCGAGCCTCTGACTCGCTGACACAGTTTAAAACTAGATTAAAGACGCTTCTCTTTAGTCAAGCATTCACATAATGCTTACCTTCTAGTCCTCTGTTATGCCATACGGAACCGTTTGCCACTGAAACTGCTTAACGCACCAGTGGGGCTCGACAGCCTTTTAGACAAACGGGTCGGCGCGTATGGTTGGGTTGCGGAGAGTTCAGGTTACGGAGAGTTTGTGAGTTATAACGGAAATCATTATGAACATCAGCTATGCTAATTTTTTCCCATCTGCCTTTCTGCTGTTATCTCGGGACGCTTGTCCCGAGAAAAATGGCGTTCGTCAGGTCCAGTTTTGTGTCCAGCCTCCCACGGGGATTTCGGATGCCCCAACGCCTGTGATGAGACGACTCAACGCCTGTGAAGAGACGACTCAACGCCTGCGATATGTTATGGCGCCGTTTTATTCATAAACAATATTTATATTTAATATTTATATTTAAACAATATGAATGTAAGCCAGAGGAGAACTGGCCCCCGACTGAGCCTGGGTTCTCCCAAGGTTTTTTCTCCATCCAATCTGATGGAGTTTTGGTTCCTTGCCACTGTCGCCTTGCTTTTGGCTTGCTTTGAGCTTGCTCAGTTGGGGTTATTTAGTGTTTAGCAATGTTGTTGATCTGTGTTGTACTACTTTCATGTTATCAGTGTGAAGCTGCTTTGATACAATCTGTATTGTGAAAAGCGCTATATAAATAAATGTGACTTGACTTGACTTGACTTAGCAAGCACTAATAATTGGCTAAACTGCAAAACATGCTTCTTGTAAAGACTATAAGAAGAGATAGCATCGATTAGAAACCTTCATTCATTTTTACAGTCACACCATTTCTATATCCACAAACTGTTAGCAGGCTTGTGTGTGCAAACTAGGGATGGGTATCGTTAAGGTTTTATCGGTATTACTACTTTTACCGATACCGCTTATCGATCCGGTACTTTAACGGTATTCTTATCGGTTCTTTTTGGTGTTTTTTTTTTTTTTTTAAAGAATTAAGAACATAATTAAACTCTACATTTTGAAATGTAAAATAGAAAAAGCAAAACGAAGAAAAATATATTTAGGCAGCAATGTGCAGGCTTTTTTGTTTTATATACAAAAAGGACACATAAGAAAAAAAACCAAGTAAAAACACAAGAATAAAATCAATCAAAGATACAAATTATATAAAAAAGTGCTTTAATTTCAGGAAGGTGTACTAACATATCTTTTCAGGTAGCCTAATTGTTTCTGTCTGAAAAGAAACCTAATTTAGTAATCAAATATAAAATAGCACTGTATAGTTTATCATAGATAGATTAATGCTTATTAAATCTAAAGTTACTTATTCAAAAGCTGTGGGTGATTTTTTTCTGCCTTTTGTTGTTTGATTTGCATTAATGGCTGAATCGTCAGCAGGTTTAGGCTATTAGACTGCTGCCCCTTTAAGACCGATGGGAAATCTAATCGGTAACCGGTAACTGAAGCACCATCAATTTCTCCCTATTATCTACGTCCATTTAAGACATAATTGTGTTTAAGTGAATAAACTGTGTTTAAGCGAATCTCAGAGCAGGTCATTTTGACATTTGTATGTATATTTGATAGTTAAGGAGGACACACGAAGCCCAAAGTATAGGCTACTTTTCTTGTCTCGTTGCAGTCCGTTTCGGAGCGCGCACCGCCTTGTGAACAGGCTCTTGCGCAGGCTTTTGTGTTTTTAATAGCCATTTTTTGATCTTGCAACAGTAGAAGACAGCATTTTGCAACAATCGCCGATCGTGCTGATTCTGACGGTACGTTTGGGTACAGCGCTCCGCAGTGCAGTGACGTAAAGGAAGCTAAGCTGGACAGATATGCGTCTTGTTTTTTAACGGTTTTATCTCAAATATTTTCTTTTTATAATCTTTGGAAGCCGAAATACAAAATATATTAGAATAATATCCCACATCTAAAGTGTAACCACGTTGAATGTTTAGTTCTGTCCTCATTGTCACTCATTAAGCAGGGCTGTCGTGTTGCGCGTGCTGTGGCTTTGCGTGAGAGATCGCTCTCTCTCTCTCTCTCTCTCTCTCTCTCTCTCTCTCTCTGCTGAACTGCGAATTTCAAATTTGCATCACAGACAAGGGTTTAATTAAAATATAGTTTATATAGAGAAAAGGCTGGCAATATAAACATGTTCAAGATAACGTCTGAATAGGAATGATAAATAATTTCTCCAGTACCGACAGCAGAACCGATAACGTCCGAGCTTATCGATACAGCGGTCTTTCAAAATTCAGCACCGGGGCCCGTTTAATACCGGGTTTCGGTACCCATCCCTAGTGCAAACACACATTGCCTGTAGTTTCCCTCAGTGGATAGAGCTGTGAGTGTGAGTGTGAACTTGTGTCTAGCAGCCATGTCTACAAGGACTGAATCAGGACTCAATGGGACGAGTTGAGAAGTCAGACATCGGCACCAATCGATATGTTAGAGCTGGAGGTTTCATTTACTCCGGCTCACTTGTTGACCTGCTAGCGAGTCGCTGCTTATGACAGGAAGAGTTGTACCGCGTCTATCCCGCCAACTCTTGTGGAAACAATAAACCGATAATGCGCTTGTCGTCGCATCAGCTAATTATTTCATTTTCAAGTTCCAAATAGGACCGGGATATCACTGCTCATATCATATCTGAGACATATAGATGAATGTTGTTGTAATGTGAAAACTCATTTTTCATATTTGAGGAAATGAAAGGTGCTTGCAAGTGCAAAGTGCAAGTGACGATGGAAAAAATAGGCATAAAGCTTACACATTTACCCAAATTATTATTTGCATGTTTTACCAAAGCTAATTTGGGTGGTTTTGTCCCGTCCCCAATGTCACTTCTGTTTCCTTTACGGCCCTGACGAGAACACCGATCTCTTCGGCTGGGAACCAATTGTAAAGCGCGCCTGGTAAACGCATCGTTATAATAGTATTGCATCACAGAACAAGCACACCTCGTTCATCATGCTCTTAAAGGGAATGTGACATGACGCTCTTATCGGTTTGTTTCCCGTTACGCCCAAACCACACCCATGAATAATTAAGCTACTTCAGACCGTTTAGATTTGTGCAAGAGGCATTTATCCCGCCGGTTAAATAGCAACAGCGCCCATACTTGATACTTGCATTTCAGATTGTTAAAATAAGGCCCATAATTGTATATAATTGATTGTCCTCAGCAAGCACCACTACCAATAATGTGACCAGATAAGCGGTGCATGGAGGTCTGGTGCTTCACTTTAAATCATCTAGTGCACTAGAGAGAGCTGATGGGTGAGGCTGAGGACATTTCTGTAGTGGTGGTTATCGCTTCTCCAATAAGCTCTACAGATCTTCCCACTGCAGCAAGACTTGCTCTGACACATTTAGAGCTCTGAGAAAGAAAGAGGTCTCGGTTGCCAGCAAAGCAGACATGTACAAGTAAATAAAACAATGAAGTTCAGCATGATGAAAGGAGACAAATTATACAATGAAGCTGAAAAAAAGGGGGGTTAGAAAAGTAGTCGTCTCAAGGGTAACGTGTTGCGAGTAATGTTTTATTTTCAGCTGACCTGAGATGCGTTTTAAAAATGTCAAAATACAGCTGGTGAGCAAAACTAAATCTGAATGAATTATATCCGACTGTAGTAATTATTTGTAGTGAAAAAAAAACCCCCAACTGAATATGTGAGCTGACTCACATAAGAAGCAATGGGTTTTCTCTGTTGTTGAGCTTATAGGTATGTCCTATGTATATTAAATTAAAATTATTCGATTTTTGTAACATTTGTGTGTGTGAAAGTCTTACAAAAAGAGTGTTCACTCTAAATTGGGACTAATTAACTACTAACTAAATAATAAAATATGTATAGCAAGCCAGATGATGTGGTCATTTATATAAAAAATAGTACATAAACATTTACATAAACATTACATTACCCCAAAAGTGATCAGCAGTGATATATTAAAATGAATTAATTAAAGTTCATTTTCAAAAATTGGGTCATCTGACCTATCACCGCAGATTAGCGTCACGCAAAGGACGGGTTTGGAAAAATGAGTCGTTGAACGAATCATTTGGGAGTCGGTGAGCAAACCCGCTAAAAATAAATGCATATAAGTGAACAAAAGTGTTTTTTTTTTTTTTTTTTTTGTCATTGCATGCATGTAAAACTGTTGTTGGGGACTCCCAAAACAATATTAGGAACATTTTAAATGCCATAATAGGTGCCCTTTAAAATAAAAAATAAATTGTAAACACACGAATGTTTAATGGGAATGGGCTAACATGAAACAAATCTACATCAAACTATATTTGTAAAAGAAACAGTGCTTGTGTATATAAAACTTGCTACATATTGCTAAGATGATGTGGGTGGTTGTTCCTGGCTCAAAAGAGCTTCAAAAAAGCCCAACGCCAAGTCCTCGGGGTCTCTCCTTCAAACGATGCAAAAAACGCAACATAACAGCACTCCTCTTCTCAATACACCTCACGATTTATGCCATCAATAACTTCCGTAGCTTGAATGGTGGGGAAGACTTGTGCTCTACGCTCTAAAAAAAACAATAACCGTGCTTGCCTGAGGATCTGAGTGGATTCTGAAACCGAGGTCTCAAACTGTGAGTTTGAAATGTTTTCATCGCCGTGCCACTTCTCAGCCCGTTTTCTTTTTCCCATGGACGAGGACAAATAGACCATGGAAAAATAATTAGCTATAAAACAAAGTGCAGACACCAGGAGGATCAGTGAACGGAGCTAATGAATATCTGCTGGATTCCATCATAATCTTGTGATTAAAGCTGAATACTATTCATTATTGTAGGCATCTAGAGAATATCTGAATGGCGAGCACTGTATATCACATAACCCTGCAGTTTAATCGACTAATTTGCGAGTTATAATGTGTCCTTGATTATTGTGTGACCACCAAAAACCCGAAATAAAGAATATAAGAGATACATTAAATGGTGTAATATCCATAGACACAGTAGCAGAAGCAATATAATTCTCAGTACTAGACTAGTTGTGGGAATGATTATGACAAGGGCTAAATCCCAGTTTGCATATTGCTTTCCATTAAAAGACCAATGACAATAGCCATAAATACCTGTTTGACACACTAATGTAACTACGGAGCTCCTAAAAACTTCTAATAACTACGGAGCTCCTAAAAGGACATGGTGATGGAAAAAAAATTTTTTTTAGATGGAATGAAAAAATTATATTTCAATGGTTTTGCGTTCTTAGCAAGCAAGCACAAATGTTTTGAGGGAATGCAATGCGGGGAAACGCAAAACTGTTGTGAGATAACGCAAAAGCAATTAAATATATTTGTTTTCCCCCCCATCTCATATTTTGTCTATTTAGCAGCTCTTTACGTACAGTAATGCATATTGCTCCTCTCAAAATAACAGCCAGCTTCAAGGCTGAAAAACAGTTCGATAAAATGACTTTCTTGTGCAATTTTTTGGTTTCAGGGCCATTCTTTTATTTAGAATAAATCAAATCATACATTGTTGAAAACAGTTATCTCTCTTCAACAGCTGCTTATGATTTTGCATCGTTTGGGGCCTGATTTGATTGGGAAAATAAAATGAACTCAGTGTACTTCCTGTCTGTACAGTATAAATGCAGGAGTGAGCCAGCTGAAATGAGTGTTCAGCATATGAAAACTGCCTAGGGTAACCCAAGGATATATCTGCAATAAATCTTAATATTAAAGTGTGGATGAGGGGAAGATATTCAACTGCTGTTGTATTTCACTGACGCTTTTGTTCATTTAAAAAGTGTCGTTGGGGTTTGCGGTTTATTAAAACATGTATTCCCCATATTGACTTGTTTGTCTGGCTTACAATAGGTTTACATGTAGTCTTTTGTCACTATTTAGATGAACTGTGCAATTTCTCTGCCTCAGGCTGCAACAACAGAACTGCAAAAACAATACGAGGTATTTTCTGTACTCTCCCTTCATCTGCCATTGGTCAAATAAACACAGTGCCACACCAGATTTAAATAACTGGTTCAGCCAAAGATGCTGTGTTAGTCTGGACAGGATGCTAAAACAGTTTGTTTATTTAACTGTTTAATATTTGAAAAATATTACAATTTAAAATACCTGTTTTTCTTTTGAATATGTTGTAAAATGTCATACTGTGACGTCAAAGCTAAATTTTCAACATCAATACTTCAATATAGTCTTCAATGTCACATGATCCTTCAGAAATCATTCTAATGATGATTTGCTTCTCAAGATTATCATCAATGTTGAAAACAGTTGTGCTGTTTAATATTGTTGTGGATTCTTTGATGAATATAAAAGTTCAAAAGAACAGCATTGGTTTGAAATATAAATCTTTCGTAACATTATAAATGTCTTTACTGTCACTTTTGATCAATTAACTGAGTCCATGCTGAATAAAAGTATTCATTTCATTAAAATAAGTCTTACTGACCACACTTTTTCTATACTTTGTAGAAGTATGCCCATTGATATTCTATGGGGTCCACTCAATATTAATTTGCAATATTGATAAATCAATTGAGAAAATTAACAATGAAATGCCTAAACTTGGTTAAATGTATGGGTAACACTTTCCAATAAGGTTCATTAGTTAACTACATTAGTTAACATTAACAAAGAATGAACAATACTTCTTCAGCATTTGTTAATCTTTGTTAATGTTAATTTCTACATTTACTAATACTTTTAAAAAATCTTGTTAACATTAGTTAATGCACTGTGAACTAAAATGAACAACAATGAACAGCTAGATTTGTATTAACTAACGTTAACAAAGAATAACAAATACAGTAACAAATGGTTAGTTCATGTTAGTTAATACATTAACTAATGTTTAATAAATGAACCTTATTGTAAAGTGTTACCAATGTATGATATCATTTAGTCATGAGGATAAATTAACAAACTACAACACAATTAAAAAATAAAACAAATTATAACTTAAATAAAAAAGTAACGCAACACTGATGAAAACAATTAACAAAACATGGATCATTAAATTGATAAATATAGACTCTAAAAAATGCTGGGTTGTTTCAATCCAAATTTGGGCCAAATATGGACAAACCCAAATGTTGGGTTAAAAATGCAAAAAAAAAATAAAATTACAGTTGAAAGTTAAAGGTGAAGTTGGGTTAAAATTTGAAATTCCATTTTAACCCAACATTTGGGTTTATCCATATTTTACCCAAATTTGGGTTAACATTTGGGAATAGAAAAAGTAGAAATAAATTGAAAATGCACTAATTAAGCACTTGATAATCACATATGATGTAAATTAGATTTTTATTTCTTTAATTTTTGCAGGGTATGCAAAAATTTATGTTTAAGTACATGTTGTGTTTATGGTTAAAATTTGAAATTAAATTTTTAACGCAACACTTGGGTTTGTCCATATTTTACCCAAATTTGGGTTAAAACAACCCAGCATGGTTTAGAGTGTATGCTGGGTTGTTTTAACCCAACTTTGGGTCAAATATAGACAAACCTAGCCATTGGGTTAAATTTTTTAATGACATTTTTAACCCAATGTTTGGGTTTGTCCATATTTGACCCAAAGTTGGGTTAAAACAACCCAGCATTTTGTAGAGTGTATAATAGAAAAAGTAGAAATAAACTGAAAATGCAACAATTAAGCACCTGATAATCACACATTTAAGATGTCAATTAGATTATTATTTCTAAAAAAAAAATCACTATGTTGACTTTTTGCAGGGTATGTGTGTTTATGTATTTACATTAATATAAATGATCAGCTCAATTGATTTAAATCAAATTTAAATGCATTTCTTGAATAGCACAAAAGTGGTGGTACTGGCCTCAAGGTCAGAAATGTGTGCACTGGTGAGTCTCTGACCTGCTCTAGAAGGTCCTCCACCTTCCTCTGCCAGCTCTCTCTGGCGGAGCACATCTCTTGATCTTTATTCTGTGCCAGCTGGGAGAGTGCTGACCTTTTATTCTCCTCATGCTCTTCACGCAGTTCCTCACGGAGTTTCTTACACTCTTGCCTGTGGAGACACACACAAAAAGATACACACTAATGATGATCATACTGTTTAGTGCTTGCTTATAATACATTACCAAAAATGTCTTGCTGAAACCTTTTGAAATAAATCGGATAAAAACCGGACGGATTTGGTTTCTGGTGTTGCATGCTGTAAATTTAAATATAAAAACACATAAAGCTCTCCACTGGGTCAGTGGTCCGTTGATCATTAATGGCTGCTAAATGGACCGGCCCCCCGTTCGCACGCTCCGCAGACCTTTTAAAGCACCTACATTTCTCTGAGGTCACAGAAGAGGTTAACCGCCACATTATGTACTGTAATTGCAGTATGTCATGGGAGTGTGGTGCTGAGCTTAAATCCATGATTATTAAGTCTGTGTTACAGACTGTTCTAAAAATGCCCAAATAACAGTCAGCACTGAGTACATCACACACTCTGAGACACTGCGGAAACCTTTTAAATGTGTGAAATTAGTCTTAATTGCTGCTTAAGAGGAAAGGGAAGCTGTAATGGGGGTCTGGGCACCTTGAAAGTCGCCCGAGACCACAGCAAGAAGCGCTGAGACGTGAATGGATTTAACTCATGCTGAATTATTTCTCTAATTGATAATATACTGAAGAGAACATTTATATAGTGTGAAGCATCATTGGGTTTTGCAAGGTGCTATATAAAAATAAAAATATGTGTATTTACTATGTATTTAATCAGGGTACAGTCAGCATGAAAAAATGTAAATCTAAATGACAAATTTCTATTATTGCAAAAGGGAAAATGCATATCTTCAAAAACGCATAATTTATTTTACATTTTCATATTTTTCCCATTAAAAACATATATATATATATAAATACATATACAGTATATAAGTTAATGTAATATAATGCATTCATTAATGATTGTAGAAAAGATTACGAAATTCAGTATGAACAAGTCGACATAAACAATGAAACTATAAATGATACATTTATATAAATGTAATGGTGATTATGTATATTTTTGAATATGTATAATTTATTTTACATTTTTCAAAAATTTTAATCATATTTTTGCCTTCACTTCATTTAAAATACTAAAAGTTCATTTTAAATTGTCCTGCAGTCTGACAAGTTTTTAAAAACACAAAGAAATCTCTCAAATATAATATAATACAAAATTAATTATGAAAAACAATTAGCAAAATACAGCATGTAACACTGAAAAAGTATTCTGAGTATGCATTAATAGACAAAATTAATAGCAAGAGGTTTTTCAGACAAGTCATGACTGGATGAGTCAGTTGCTGTGTGTGTGTGTGTGTGTGTGTTTGTGTTTGTTTCTGACTTGGCTATAATTTGAGGCAAAAATTTCTAATGCTGTTTTGCCTCCAAAATTATAGCCAAGTCAGAAACAAACACACACACACACAGCAACAGACTCATCCAGTCATGTGGTGCATTACAAGAGGTGGTGGTGAATTAACCAGAACTTCTGCTCAGTAGACGCTGCTGTACGTGGCTTCATAACCTTTAAGTACCTTTACGAAAAGTCCATTTGTCTCCATAAATGATCTCATGGCAAAGCTGTCAGTCCAGCACATAAAAACAGCATAAACAGTTTTAATTTGTTGCACTTCGGCACACGCAAGCTAGCGATATATCCAGACGGCGCTGCCTCGAAGGGGAGGATCCATCTGGAGTTTTTATGAACTTCATTGTGCGGTGCAGCTGTGAGCATAATTGCAAAATGCAAACTCAAGTGTTGATGAAGAAGTCAGTGATTGTTTAAGAGTGTACAAACGCAAGTGCCGGTGTCTGACAGATTGGCCCGATGATGAACGAACCCTCTTGCAACTCTACAAAGTCGGCCAAACGTTTGTCCTCTGACAGTGCTTGAATATCTTTTCCTGCATATCTCTCCATGCATCCTGCATGTTAAGGCGAACTTCATATTCTCGAAAACATTTCTTTCTTACATATTTTCCTTTCCTTCATATCTCAGCTAGTTCTTACCTTTTTAACCCTTAACAAACAGTTTTATCCCTAATTACAAGGTTTAATTCAGTGTAATTAACTAAAAGTAAAACTATTAAAACTACTTTTCAATTATTGAAACAATGCTGAAATAGATTAAAATATGACTCTTAGAAAAGCTTAAAGTCCCCCTGTAGTTAATCTTTTTATCCCTTAAAAATCATCTTTGATCACCAAAATGGCTTAAAATAAATACTTAAAATGATGTATGTACTAAAACTGAAATAAAAGTTAAATAGAAATATTAAAAACATTAAAAAGTAATAAAAATTAAGAAAGTCACATCACATTAAATGAAAAAGAAAATAGAAATAAAAGATAATTCTAAATTTTATAAACATACTATATATATATATTATATTTATATATACTGTATATACATATATACACTAATATATATTTATATAAAATATATATTATATATATATAATATATATTTTATATAAATATATATTAGTGTATATATATGTATATACTGTATTTATACTGTATATATAAATATAATATATATAGTATGTTTATGAAATTTAGAATATATATATATATATATATATATATATATATATATATATATATGAAGAGTTCAGATGCAAAAGCCTCTAAGTGCCATTTGAAATTTTCTTCTTTAATGATGATTTTTATCAAACTTGTATATTTAAGTTCAGTAATTTCACTTAAATGGCAATGATAATTACCTATTAATTGTTATTTAAGTGAAATTGCTGAACTTAAATATACAAGTTTGATAAAAATCATCATTAAAGAAGAAAATTTCAAATGGCATTTAGAGGCTTTTGCATCTGAACTCTTCATATATCATTGGTTTAGTTTATAATTCCAGGAGAAATTAGTCTGTTAGCATCATTAACAGCCACATGGAATTTCTACAATTACAATTTTACTGTAAAATTCCTACTGTAAAGACAATTAATGCGGTTTTCCTTAAATAAGTCCTTAGCGCCATAAATCCTATTAATTGAGATCATTTCCAAAGTCGTGGAAGCTCCTAGAAATTCATAACAGGGGTCTCATGGAATATGAGGCTCTCGACCTAGATCCAACATATTTACCAGCACTTATTTTGAGCAATAATGAGCTCTACATTGTTCTGCATTCCCGAAATAACAAGTTTAAGTGCAAATATCATTTCCAGGGCACCACAGAACTATCCTGAACAAATGTTGTGGAAAATGAGCAACCGAGGATGAAATCCAATAAAAGCCTTGTTGATTTGTCATTAAAGCATGTTGAATGCCTGCTTAGGGCCTATTCAACTTCAACCTTCCCTGTTAGCTCATTTTTATCACTTTCCGGGGATGTTATAGTGGTGAATTGGTAACTTTGCAAAACTATGAGGACACAAAGTAGCACAAATGTTCTTAATGGCCTTTGTTTTAGAACAACTCAGACTTATATACTAATGACCTATTTGTCTTTTTTGAAGGCACATGCTATTAAACACTGGTTGTAAGCATGGCTGATAATGAATCAGGCAGGCAGTGCTTTCGGAGGCAATGCCAAAACACTTACAGCTGTTGGGAACTTTACAGGGTATATCAGTCATCTATTAGTTTGGCACGGAAAGAGAGAACGTGAAAGAACGAGAAGTGCCTTGCTTGTTGACAAACCGTTTATACGGATAGTTCAACCACAAATGAAAAAAATCTGTCATCGTTTACCCTCCCTCCCTCATGTCATGGGAAAAAATTTGTCTGGATTGATTTCATGACTTGCATTAGTATTCTTAGGCCGTGTGTCCACCAAAGTGTTTTTATCCAGCTGAAAACGCCAGACGCTCTGCTGAAGACGCCGTGCTTTGGGCGCTTGAGAGCGTTTTGGCAGCGCAGCATTTTTTCCGTTGAGACGTTTCGTTGCTATGATACAGAATATCAGCAGCAGTTTGAATGTTGTGACAGTTGGTTGGTGTGATATTAGTCCCGCCCCTCCTCCACTGTGATTGGACACGGCTGGGTAAAAAGTGACAGTGATGAGCGCTGCGTTTTATCCAAAGTTGAACATTTTTCAACTCCCAGCGACCAGTAAAAACGCTGGGCACTCGACGCTTCAGCGTGAAAAAAAAAAACCGCTCAGCGCCGCGGTACGCTCATGGCGTTTAAAAAAATGCGGTGCTCCCACTGAAAACAATTGAAAACATACGCCATGCGCGTGGAAAACCGCTTTGGTGGACACACTGCCTTACTCTGAACATTGAACTTGGAAACACCCTTTCACAACTTTTTTATTTCCAAAATGCTAGTTTTAACACTGATAACAGCCCATGACAAATACATTATAAAAAATTAAATATTATATGTGAATGTTATTATTGTTATTAATTATTTATATTAATAATATTATTTTTTGCATAATTTTTGGACCATGAACTATTTCTTTAATCAAACAATTAAACAAAAAAAAAAAAGCAAAGAAACAAATAAATAAATAATGGATTTTTAATTATCTTACATCATAAATTATTTCAGAAATTATTATTTAGAATACAACATTTTTAATTACCATTTTATTAATTTATTTATTTTTTTGCACAATTTACCTTGCACTAATGCTTAAAACATACTGTAATTATTGAAAATAAATAAGTCAAGCAAACAAACAATTGTTGGACCATGCACTAATGTCAAATAAATGTTTAATTATTATTATCTATTTTATATTATAAATTATAATTAATTATTTATAATACAAAAACGAAATTATATATATATATATATTATGCATTATTATCATTAATTTATCTTTTATTATTTATTTATTTTAATTGTTGGATCTTGCACTAAGGTTAAGGTGTAATTTATTGTCTCAAAGGGAAATTTGTCAGATGGATGGATTTAATTAACTAATACGTTAAAGAAAGATACCTTTTATATGGAGTTTTATACGTTTTTTTTTTTTTACTTTGAAGTCTTTTTAATGGGCAAGTTTGTCCCCATATTTTGATGAAGACATGGTATTAGTAAATATTTCTGAAGGGAAGTTTCCAAGAACTCCCACTCATGTAACATTGAAACACGTGCTCTTACCTGAGTGTCTCGGTCCACTTCAGCTCCAGCTCCAGGGCCATCTTATCCATTTTGAGCTTCTCTTCCTCTTTGGTGGAGATGAGTTTGGCATCATGCTGTTGTTTCTGAGTCTCCATCTCTCCCTGAGGAAAAGAACAAGAGCGAACATTAGCTCTGATGAGCCATTAAGCACATGACCTGTAATTGTGAGGTCTAACATGCGGCACTCAGGACGAGAGCTATCAATCATACTGGGGTCAGGAGATGGAAATCCATTTTCATTTCTCAACTCACTCAGTTCTTTTCTCACATACACACAGGTACGAGTACGATTCATTATGCATGGCCACTCAGATAACCTGTGTTTCAGGTAAGGACAGAAGAAGAGGAACCATGAAGAGGCCTCTCTAATGAAGTGTCACACAGGGGCCAAAAACACAGGTGGGTGCAATTCAACAGGAGCAACTATTACGCATCTCAAAATGATGAACTTACTGCAGGTGTTTTTAGAAGCTATTTGTGGAAACTGAGAGCAAAAGCAGTAGAAAATTACCCACATCATCTTTAATAAAAAATAAAAAAGCCTGCAAAACTGGCCACACTGGACTTTGAAGTATGAAGTCTCATTAGATTAATAGCTTTTGGAAATAGACCTGAAGGGCCGTTAGGAGGTTGCTGGTCTCTCGGAGTCTGGCTCGCGTGGCATCCAGCTCTTCTAGAAGATTCTTCTGGGCGTCCTTCAGATTGGAGATGTGTCCCTCAGCAGAACCGAGTCCCGTCTCTCCCTGCTTCACCAGCTCCTGGAGTCGACTCACCTGAGGAACAGTAAAAGTTACTTGCTTTTGAGCAGATCCTTCTCTCTTAGAAGAAAGGTTCTATCTGCGCTACATATTTGGAACCCCTTAAAGGTTCTATACAGAACCCTTTTTAAGGGTTCAATAATAAGAACCCTTTACACTCTTAGAAGAAATGGTTCTATTTAGAACCAGAAATGGTTCCATCCCCCGCTTCATATATGGAACTCCAAAATGGTTCTATATAGGACCATTTTTTTTATAAGTATGGAACCCCAGGGTTCTATATAGAACCCAGAGGAACCCTTTTTTTAAGAGTGTATAGACGAATTCGACGAGCGTTCTGTGTAGGCTGCCATCTTGTGGCGACGCCATTACTGAGCTGTTACACAGGCATATATATAGACATATGCACCGGTATGTAAACAAACCTCGGTGATAACGCGAACTCACCCTCGATGACAGCTACAGCCAGGCAGAATGACTTGTTGGTTTGATCTGTGACTGCAGTGGCCTCCAGTCACAGATGAAGGTACAAACGATCTTACAGATTAACGTTATTTATGAAAATAGCTTGGCAAGCTAGCTAGGCTAACGTTTGCTAACGAGATCTGTCCATTTGGCAACAATAAATAAATAAATGAATGAAATCAAATAAACAAATTCATGTTTTTCATTTGTGTCCATTATTTATCTACTTTTCACATTGCAACAGGCAAGGGTAAGGTAACGTTACAGCTAGAAAGTATACATAATATCGACCAATTAGTGTTTTTAAACCATGGAAAGAGGTCAATATAACAGCAGGAAAACAATTATGTCACATAACGTTACATTTAGCTCAGGAAAGCCATTTAATGATCATAGCATGTTAATTGAATAGAAAAAAATAGCAAGAGAGGAGATTTTGCTGATCACTATATCACATATTTATTATATTTTTTACTTATGTCATTAAATAATTGTTATTAAACGCGAATGTCCGCGTCTTGTACTCGCCCAGGAAATCTGTAAACCGTACGGCACCAGACAGGGGCAGTCGACCCGGGGTAATCACAGTGTTTTCTCTTCAAAATTGAAATTTTACTGCCACCATTGAAACAATTTATAACGGAAACTGTTTACCCACTCGACATTATACAAGGGGTAACGTTGTAACGTTAGTGACAGTCGTAAATCGCGGGCTGTTTATTCCAGTGGACGCAAGTTGCAATAGGAGGCAATGGCGCAACGCTACCCAGCAACAGCTCAGTAATGGCGCCCGCTTACTTCCGGTAGTTTCGCCGGATTCGTCTATAGAACCTTGGTGTTCCAAATACGTAGCGCTGCCGCTGATAGAACCTTTTAAGGTTCTATATAGAACCTTTTCTTCTAAGAGTGTAGGGTTCTTTGGGACCAGGAAAAAGGTTCTATATGGAACCTTTTGGGTTCATTCATTATCATTTAATGAGCAACATAGCAGTTCCTCTGCTGAAAACAGCATAAACCAGCCATTTAAGAGGTCCCAGTGGGTCTGTTGACTGGGTTTAAGAGGGGTTTTACATTTCACCCAGCTAAAACAGATGAAGACCATCCTAGGTCAGCTAAGAAACAAGCAGAGTAACTTCTAAAGACGGCATTCTAACCGAAATATAAGCTCTTACGTCACTGCTTAAAGATGCTTTGCATTAACCATTAAAGGTCTCTCACATTCTTAAAGTTGAATCCAATACAGATGTTGATGTTAGCATGTTTCTATATCAACACCTAAATCCTCTAATGAGCATAAACATAATGTACACAACACATAAATGGTTAATGATACAGTGCTTTTTAAGACTCACCTCAACTATTTTGAAAACAGCCTTCAAGTGGGCAGCATGGCTAAACAGGTAGCCTAGGTGGATAATTGGTTTCTAGATGGTGGTTATAAGCTGGTCATCATCTTCGACCAGCAACAAACCAGCTACCAGTTGGTCATTACCAGCTAATGTGGTCAGGCTGGACTTTACTCTATGATTAATGAGCTAATGACCAGCTTAGATCAGCTAGAAACCACAGCTACCATTTATTTTTTTTTAAAACACAGATACCTTCTTAAGATTGATCTTCCAGGAAGTTTGGCGTTTAATGTGCTCATCAAACAGGACTCATAAAGTAAATGAAACATGCCTAAATTGAATGATCAGTAATGCCTATTTGCAGCTATGGGACAGAGCCAGATTGGTGTACCGGAAGCCCATTAAAACAAATCGAGACTAATGAGATGGTAAACACATGACACTGAAATTAATCACCACCTCCCTCTGCTTCCGTGCCTTCCTTTCTACCTGCTAAATCACTTTCACAGAGACAGTACAGGGTTTCGAAAAGAACGGACAACACTAAACAATGCAGAGTTCCTAACAATGACTACATGCATTTACATGCACCCTCATAACACCGATTATATTTAGATTTAGGCAATATTGCGATTGAACTTTATCCTCCTTTACTTCGATCAAATTGATGCTATAAAGCTCATAACCGTAGTAGCCATAATTATAGTAAAAGATGTGGCACATGAGGATTTAATTGCTATGAACAAGCATGTAAACACTGTGACCACATCTATTCCAATCTGACAAACTGCACATGTCTTTGTGATGTTCATGGATGATGCTGTCATGTAGCGGTAAAGAAGGCATCATGAAGACAATGGGCTGCGTTTAACTCTTTATAAAACGGATAGTTTCGGTCCTTGATTCTGATGGGTTGAGCCACGTTTGAAAAAAAAAAAATCTGCGTTTAAATTACTCAACAAACACACACCTGTGACCGCATTACAATAGTATTACTGCGCAACTGCCGTTTGCGATTCTTTTTTGCTACATCTGTTGCGTTGCTTGGCAACCTCTTTGGAACTACATTGCTTGGCGGAGGAATAAATGTCTTGTGTCGTCAAAACCACTGTAGGGAGTCAGGAATTGGAATTGACCCTTCGCTAAGCCCCGCCCTCCCTAGTTACTGTTGCTACGCCTGTCAAGCTTTCGCGGCTGGCCCATCTATTATAGTGTGGATGCACCCGGTATCAGACATTTCAATGAGATAATTAGTAATTTTCGGCGAACATGTGAAATATCTGAGAGAGCAAGACAAAAGGGACTACAGTATGCATTCGAGGGATATATTCACGACATTATATGCAACCGATTAGAGAATAATTTCTTAAAAATTGAAGTTAAAGCCTAACGTTATAGTCCCAGCGCGAGCAGCAGCGCCTCATACGCTGACCGTTCAAATGGAAAACACAAATTGAGGAACAGCTGTGTTCATACACAGCAGGGTATGTGAAAATAATCTTAATAATTATAAATCAAACAGCTTATCAATAAATCTTGTGGAATAACACTAATACCGGGAGAGCCGCGATTGGATTGGGTTAAGGGGTAACGTTAGTAGGACGTCGATTAACAAAATGCTGAAATATATTTTAAAGTATGTCAGTGAGCCTTTGTCTTGTCTCTTTAATCGTCTTATTTTACGTTATCATTATGACCAAAGAACCGTCAATATTTCCAAGCAATAGGTGTTTTTGTTAAGCATGTCGACATTTACCAGAATGGGTCTCGCACATAGATGCTAGATCACGCCAATCATTTCTCCTCTTGGCTTTTAGATTTTCTGGAAAAAAAACAACTCCTCTCCCCCGTCCAAACTTTTAGTATACCGGTATCAGATTTGCACAATCCATACGCACAATGCTTCAGCATGTTCCCTCGTTCGAAAGCTTGCCAGACCTCCCGCGCATAGTTACGGTTGCTAAGACATGATTGGCCAGTGGCGGTTTTCGGGCGTGGCTTAGCGAAGGGTCAATTGTGAGTATTGAAAACGATCAGGATGGAGTGTTTTAGCATCTATTTGGTCCCCTCTATCTCCACTGGGGTCTGCCCACTTTTTCAGCATTTTCAAATATTGCCAGTGGGTGGAGTCAGGCTCTGACCAGGGGTTTAGTGACCCTTTAAAGAAGAACAACTGGCTGTGTGAAAATGTGAGTATGTGAACTTAGCATTTTTTCTTAAATATCTGTAAACTTATGGTATTTTTATGCTTTAGTACAGTCAAAATAAATTCATACAGCACCTTTAAATGCATAGTTCATGTTGAAAAGTATATTGATCGTCGAATGGAATGAAGACATGTTTATGTGCGTCAATTAGAAATCCATAGAAATGTTTTGCAATTAATAGAAGTAGATTACAACAGTGGCCAGTAACACATCTACTATATGTGAGGTCATCCTTTGTGCTGTGTATTGAGGTATGTGAATAAACCACAATTCTTAGCGAATAATCAAAATAATGAAAACTGCATGCGAACAGGAGTGAAGACCTGTTAGTCCTTACTCTTATTATTGGAAAAAAAAATAAAAATCACATTATTGGTGTAGTTCTAAACGTAGTCAATGATCAGTGTTTTATTGATTATAAATGGCCTAAATGAAGGTTTCAGCACACACATTACCGTACCTCACTGTTGGCCATGTTGAGTTTGGCACTGAGCTCCTCTCGTATATTGTCCAGTTCCTCTCGCAAAAGGTTCTTCTGTTCCTCTAGAGAGTTACGTTCCTTCTCGAACTGATCCTCCATCTCCTGCAAGTCCAACAGAAAACCTCAATTAAAAATGACAACTGCTTACAAACGTGTGAAGCAATTCATGTTGGAGATAAGACAAAGTCATTTCTCATTTTGAGGTTATACTTAACCAAAAAGTGAACATTCTGTCATTTCCTCAACCTCATGTCGAGGAAAGAAACTCATACAGGACGAGGTTGAGTAAATAATGGCAGAAGTTTCATTACTCATTACTGGATGAACTATTCCTTTAATCATGATAAAATTCTTTTTTAGGCTGTGGCATTTTGAAGGCATGACCGTCTGAAAACTTAATTTCAAACATGTCAGGGTAGTGCCTTAGGAAATCCACTTAATATCTGTCTCAGGGAGTAGGAAGAAATAAGATGACAAGATTTGTAATGCAAAAACAAAGCATGAGAAGAAATGAATAACTATATATTATTCATAATAAGATTTCTAGACCTCTCCTCGAAAATAATAACACAGAAACTAATCATAGTCATCCTGTGACATTTACAGAATAAAATGCAATTTTTGATTGTTTCCTGCCCACCACAGTCTTAATATTGCGCTTTCAATGTAGTACTTAATTCATATTTCTCAAATATCTGCTTATACATCCTAACTCTAAGAATTAAAATATGTAATTAATTAAGCCTGAGCAGCTTAATCTAGACACTTCAATATACTTTGTTTTGCAGATATTTCAAAATTTAAATTATTGACTCAGATAAAAAAAGAGGCAAAATGAAGCATTAAATGAATAGTCATTAAGATGTTTTAATGTTTTAGAGGTCTCTTCTGCTCAGCAAGGCTGCATTTATTTGATCAAAAAAAGTAAAAACATTAATAATGTGAAATATTACAATTTAAGATGACTGTTTTATATTTGAAACATTAATTCCTATGACAAAGCTGCATTTTCAGCATCATTACTTACAGAAATCATTCTAATATGCTGATTTGCTGCTCAAGAAACATTATCATGATCAAAGTTGAAAGAAGTTAATGCTTAATTTCGTGGAACATTATTTTCAGGATACTTATCAAATTATTTCAAATAAAATGTTGCACAATTGTCAGCAATGCTTTCTTGATCAATATACGGGACAGGCATATATATATATTATATAAAGGATACTTTGAAATATATATACAGTATTTGCAAGGCTATTGTCAAATTAAAGTCTAAAACTGTCACTCTTGTTGACAGTTTTCTGTCAAACAGTTTTACTGTCAGAGATATTAAAAGAAGCAAAAGACGAACGTGGATGATATGAAACAGCAGAGCGATAGATGTTGACAAATGAAAGATGACAGAGACGAGATAATCTCTCCCGCTCATTATAAAGAGCAGCGGAGAGCTCCTTGCACGTGTTGATTAAAGTCCCACGTCACTTCATTTCTGTGCATATTTATATACGGGTAACCATGGGCGCGTGGGCCTTGAGGAGAAAGAGGTCTTAAGAACGCCAGTGTTTAAAAAATGTATGGTTAGCAGCACAGACGAGCAAATGGGCTGAGCGCTCAGTATAGCCGGCACTGGCAGGTGTGCATAATTCACTCCATCCCCAATTCGAGACAAACAAATATGTTGTGCCTTAGTGACATGCGTTAAAATGGATCCATGCTGTGATCCATGTCAAATTAAGTAGAATCCAGTTATGATCTCCCTCCCAGAAAATATAAAATACATCACACACATGGGGTTCTGTTCTGAAAATGAAGGTTCTTCTAATGCCACAAAGTCTGTCACCAGAGTAGTGAGTCACCAAATAAACACACTATGGACAGACACTAGAAACCGAATGCACTCTGGAAAAGAAAGATAAAGAAGAGAAAGAGAGAGGGCCCTAGGCTTCTTCTAAAATAGGATGTTGTGCTGCTCCTGTACAAGACTGTGAGTCAGCGGCACACTCTAACAGAGGCCACTCTCATTGATTATTCATTTGCGCCTCAATTTTTCAAACTACATTTCCATTTCTGAGAGTAGCGGGCGCTACGGCGTCGGTGAGATAAGCCCAAAGCTGTAATGTGATTAACCGGTTGCTGCTGCGGCATCACGGCTGATGTCCACCGGCACAAAGGTTCGCTGAAGGGTTGTACAGGTTTGACAGCAGGTGATAAAGGCGGAGCAGGCCGGATTTGGGCAGGCGTAATCTCTGTAAGCGTGAAGGGAACTTCTCAGAATGAGTTAAAGTGAGAAAATTAGATCCATTACATTAGCATGCATGCTACATTCTAAAGGTACGGGAAATGTAAACACGATTGCGTATGTAAAAACTTGACGCATTATTAGGATGCCACACTGCCTGCATTTGGATGCTAGTGCAAGCATCTAGGCTGAAAGGGTCACTAGTACCTGGAGAAAGCTACATGTTAGCATTGCTAATATTTGTTTGTTTTTGCATTACACCGTGTCCTAACTACACGCGACGCGATAAAATTGGAGTGACAGCAAGTGTGTCTGTCCACACTAGACGCGACGCGACTGTAAGAAGCCACACGTCAATCAAAAATCACAGCCATTCAGAACAGCGTGTGGGCGGAGTCCCACACTCGCATTGGAAATGGGTAAAGACATAATCAAATCAAGAAATAACATTATATAAAATCAAAATATACTCATTGACTAATTTTGTTATAAAGTACAGTTGTATGTTTGCATAGAATTCATTTTGAACACTATATTATATGCTTTCAAAATCTGAGGTAAATGGGCTCTATGGACGGCGTTATTTCCGGTGAAGGTGTAAGGATGCTCGATAACTTCCGCCGATCGTAGAGTCCAATGCAAAACCGAGAATTTATATTGAATTTTATACTCCATGGTTATACTAATGAAACGTTAGTCACAAAAACTGATAAAACAGACACCCCTCGTTGTGTTTATGCTTCTTTTTAAAATTATATTAAATAAACATAACTATATATAAAATTACATCTAAACGTATGTACGTTTCGTTTCAAAGACGGGAGGACAGTAAATATTGAAGACTCTGCCATAATCCCGTTTTCTCCGGTTTTCCTCCGCTTTAATCTCCACAACCGGAAATGGACGAGCATCCTTACGTCAAATACGGAACTTATGCGTGCATATAGCCCATTATCTGTTATCGCTTGTGGCACCGTGACCTAACGCCTTTGAACTTCGACAATCAGTTCCTCGTTGTCCATGTTTGATGATTAAATATTCATGACATGCAGAACTTCCATCCAATGAGATCTCTGTGTGGGCGGATCTGTCAGCCGCGACGTCGCAGAAATAGGAACCGTTTCTAAATTAGAAACTTTGCGTGTCGCCGTCGTGTCTGGTTAAGGACAAAAACTCTGGTTAACATGGAAAAGATACCTTTTATCGTGTGTCGCGTGTAGTTAGGACACGGTGTTCGACATCGCCATTTCACACTGAATCCGACATTTTCGTATGCCTTTTTTTCATATTCGTGATTCGGTGGCTCTGAATTGTCAAAAAACCATTTAAACTCCATTCAAACTGCTTGCTACGGATGCGAAAAACGCAGAAAATCGAACCCGATTTGATTTTTTTTATGACGGACGAAAGTTTCGGAGGCAGTGTGCAAGCGCGATTAACATAACGTGAGGTCGTATTTATTTTTTAACGCGCGGAAATTTCGGACGCGAATTTCAGACTCAGTGTGCAATGGCCTTTACTGGGCGCAATGCGTACTGTATGTGTGCCGTCATCTGTTTTTAAAATGTATGCCATGAAATAATAAAGGTGTTTTATATTTTTCTAAAAACTAATATTCAAGTATTTACACACACTCTGGGACGATCTCTGAACAGGAGAGAAATATCTCACTTGCTGCTCTGCTATGTTTAGCTAACAATCTGTTGTGTGTGATTTATAATTACAAAAAGATTAAGTATTTGTGAACTGTATGGATATGGATGTGCCGGGCTGCTGGCAGCTGCCTATTTTGAGGGAGGGTGACAGATTGCGCTCTGACTGAGTCAATTCAGTGCCGCTTTCTAGGCTTTCATTTCATATGCTATCGGGCTAGAGAAATCAAAACAGACGGTTTAGTCATTACTTTTGCTATTTACGAACGTGTCTCCGCTGATGAGTGAAATAACAGTTATGCCTTTCATTGTTAAAATCAATGAAGATCGAGTGTGACTGGGACACTTTGAGCTGGGTGGAGAGGGCAAAATGGAGGCAGGACGGAGGTGATAGTGTGTGTGAGATGAATTTGCACTGTTGTGCCAAACGAGGCTGGGTACTGCACTATTTTTCCTTTCTGTTTCTCTATTGGATTAGTGTTGTTGCACCACACACACACTCCTAAATACAGTAGAGAAAAGCTAGGGATTATGATTATTGGTCGATCTACATATCGCCAAGTCCGATATACATAAAGTGTGTGTTAAGTGTTATATGTGAAGCACCATGACAGCTTAAAGTAATTGATTATTAAAGACCTGAAGTTAACTTTATAGCAGGTGACATTTGGCATTTTTTAAACATCGGTCTCGGCCGATAAGTTTACTGATGTGTCGGATTCTCCATCTTAATTCGTTTATCGTCTCAGTTTAATAGTCCTATTTAGTTAGAACAGTTAAACTAAGAAAGCAAATGGGATATGAAAAAGTATTATAGCGTTTGATTTTCTATTATTAATAGGCTACTAAAAAGGCAAACACTATGGCCTGGTTTCACAGAAAATGCTTAGATTAAATCAGGATAAGGTTTATAGTTTAATTAAGACATTTAAGTACATTTTATAAACGTGCCTTGGAAAAAAACTGAATAAATAACACAAATAAAAAGAATAAAACATAGTTTTGTATCACAACATTTTTATTTTTGTATTTTGGCTATCTATCTCTGTACCTGATTATTATCTCAGCAGACAGACTGGATCCTTGTGTGCTTGTAAATGAATAATTATTGTGTTTTTTCAAAACCAATCCTGAACCTGTTACAATTGTTCTCTCTGATCTTTCACTTGCACTCAAAGGTACTTCCTGTTCTTTCTTAAGGTGACACCTCCTGACTGATGCTAGACAGCGAGTCACATCTACCGTCTGAACCTAATGTCTGAAGTGCAGTCATGCTGATATTTCGCCAGGACGGCTGAGAGCGTTTAAAGAGTTGTGTGTGGGCACAGCTGACAGCGATGTGACAGAGTTCACTCACAGACAGGAGGCGGTTCTTCTCTTTCTCGGCGATGCTCTGTGTGTTCTCCAGAGTGGCCCGGTGCTTCCTGGAGAGCTCCTCCACTGCCCGACTGTGGGTCTCCTTAAAGTGAGCGGTATCCTCTTCATATCTGACACGCAAGTTTATGAGCTCCTTCTCATAGATCTGCTTTTCCTCTCGAAGTGACTGAAGAGAAAAATTAAAAGACAAATCTATTTAAAACATGGTCTGATGCTTATATATAGAGAGAGAGAGAGAGAAAGAGAGAGAGAGTATAATTGTATTTAAATTTAAAAAACATCTAAACACATACATTTCATTATTGTCCATCTGTTGCATTTGTATATGTTTATTAGCACGTTTTAAATTGTGTTACAGTTTCTGAATATTTATTATTTCCATTTATTTTATTATATGACTATTTAAACAACCGTCTTAAAATGTCATATGTTCACCAATGCTGCATTTATTTGATCAAAATACAGTAATGCAAAATTACTGAATACAAAGACATCTATGGACCCTCTATGGTCTTGGTCTTGACTCGGACTCAACCCTCTATGGTCTCGGTCTTGACTCAGACTCGACCCTCTATGGTCTCGGTCTCGACTCGGACTCGACCCTCTATGGTCTCGGTCGACTCAGACTCGACCCTCTATGGTCTCGGTCTTGACTCAGACTCGACCCTCTATGGTCTCGGTCTCGACTCGGACTCGACCCTCTATGGTCTCGGTCGACTCAGACTCGACCCTCTATGGCCTCGGTCTCGACTCGGACTCGATCCTCTATGGCCTCGGTCTCGATCCTCTATGGCCTCGGTCTCGATCCTCTATGGCCTCGGTCTCGACCCTCTATGGTCTCGGTCTCGACTCAGACTCGAACCTCTATGGTCTCGGTCTCAACTCGGACTGGATCCTCTATGGTCTCGGTCTGGACCAGGACTCGACCCTCTATGGTCTCGGTCTCGACTCGGACTCGACCCTCTATGGCCTCGGTCTGGACCAGGACTCGACCTTCTATGGTCTCGGTCTCGACTCGGACTGGATCCTCTATGGTCTCCGTCTCGACTAGGACTCGACTCTCTATGGCCTCGGTCTCGACTCGGACTCGATCCTCTATGGCCTCGGTCTCAACTAGGACTCGACCCTCTATGGCCTCGGTCTCGACTCGGATTCGATCCTCTATGGCCTCGGTCTCGACTAGGACTCGACCCTCTATGGCCTCGGTCTCGACTCGGACTCGACCCTCTATGGCCTCGGTCTCAACTAGGACTCGACCCTCTATGGCCTCGGTCTCGACTCGGATTCGATCCTCTATGGCCTCGGTCTCAACTAGGACTCGACCCTCTATGGCCTCGGTCTCGACTCGGATTCGATCCTCTATGGCCTCGGTCTCGACTAGGACTCGACCCTCTATGGCCTCGGTCTCGACTCGGATTCGATCCTCTATGGCCTCGGTCTCAACTAGGACTCGACCCTCTATGGCCTCGGTCTCGACTCGGACTCGACCCTCTATGGCCTCGGTCTCAACTAGGACTCGACCCTCTATGGTCTCGGTCTCGACTCGGACTCGACCCTCTATGGCCTCGGTCTCAACTAGGACTCGACCCTCTATGGCCTCGGTCTCGACTCGGACTCGACCCTCTATGGCCTCGGTCTCAACTAGGACTCGACCCTCTATGGCCTCGGTCTCGACTCGGACTCGACCCTCTATGGCCTCGGTCTCAACTAGGACTCGACCCTCTATGGCCTCGGTCTCGACTCGGATTCGATCCTCTATGGCCTCGGTCTCAACTAGGACTCGACCCTCTATGGCCTCGGTCTCGACTCGGATTCGATCCTCTATGGCCTCGGTCTCAACTAGGACTCGACCCTCTATGGCCTCGGTCTCGACTCGGATTCGATCCTCTATGGCCTCGGTCTCAACTAGGACTCGACCCTCTATGGCCTCGGTCTCGACTAGGACTCGACCCTCTATGGTCTCGGTCTCGACTCGGACTCGACCCTCTATGGCCTCGGTCTCAACTAGGACTCGACCCTCTATGGCCTCGGTCTCGACTCGGACTCGACCCTCTATGGCCTCGGTCTCAACTAGGACTCGACCCTCTATGGCCTCGGTATCGACTCGGACTCGACCCTCTATGGCCTCGGTCTCAACTAGGACTCGACCCTCTATGGCCTCGGTCTCGACTCGGATTCGATCCTCTATGGCCTCGGTCTCAACTAGGACTCGACCCTCTATGGCCTCGGTCTCGACTCGGATTTGATCCTCTATGGCCTCGGTCTCAACTAGGACTCGACCCTCTATGGCCTCGGTCTCGACTCGGATTCGATCCTCTATGGCCTCGGTCTCGACTAGGACTCGACCCTCTATGGCCTCGGTCTCGACTCGGATTCGATCCTCTATGGCCTCGGTCTCAACTAGGACTCGACCCTCTATGGCCTCGGTCTCGACTCGGATTCGATCCTCTATGGCCTCGGTCTCAACTAGGACTCGACCCTCTATGGCCTCGGTCTCGACTCGGATTCGATCCTCTATGGCCTCGGTCTCGACTAGGACTCGACCCTCTATGGCCTCGGTCTCGACTTAGATTCGACCCTTTATGGTCTCGGTCTCGACCCTCTATGGTCTCGATCTCGACTCGGACTCGAGTGAGCTGGTCTCGACTACAACACTGATAATAATTATAAAAAATCTTTTCACTTTAACAAGACTAAACAGGATACAAATACTACAGGACAGTCTGTGAAAGTTCGAGTACGGTTTATGAAAAGGGAACAAAGTGGACACTCAGACTGCCTCTTGTTCAGAGATGTCATGAATCCAATCTAAAAGTATAACAGAAAAAAAACTGAAAGACACCTTGTCCACACTGCCACTGAGAGTCATCTGCCTGCAAGAAAATAAACTTCCTATTATAAGACCAGCAGAAGTGATGGCAAAGTGAATCACTCCACGATGCTTTCCCGCTCTATTTAGTGAGTGTTGTCATAGTAACACCTAACTCAAGGCCGTGCTGCAAACAAACTGTGATGTGGGCGACAGAAAGAAACTGACAGAAAGATGGATGAAGCCTTTTCAAAGAGGAATTATCCTGAAATTTCAAGCACACAGCAGCAGATCGAAAAGACACGATGCTTCATATATTCTACATTTTTGCAAATTTGACCAGTTGGTCTTACGGAAGTGCTGATTACGGTCTGTTTCACCTGAAGTGTTTATGAGGGTAATAATGTTCACACAATGGGGAATGGGAGTCTTTATTAAAGATTTTTGTTGACCTTGAGATTTAATAATTATAATAATTTGTTACATTTATATAGTGTTTTTCTGGGAACTCAAAGTGCTTTACATGGAAGGGGGAATCTCCTCAACCATCACCTGGATGATGCGACGGCAGCCATATTGTGCCAGAACGCCCACCACACACCAGCTTACCAGTAGAGAGGAGACAGTGATAAAGCTAACCAGTATATGGGGATGATTAGAAGGCCATGATGGACAGAGGCCATTGGGAAAATTTGCCCCGGATGCTGGGGTTACACCCCTACTCATTTCGAAGGACATCCTGGGATTTTTAATGACCACAGAGAGCCAGGACCTCTGTTTAAAGTCTCATCCGAAGGACTTTTTAAAAATTATTTATTTATTTATTTCTGTATTTGAATTTCATATAACATTTCTTTCATTTGGATGACATAGTTATAACATTAACAAACTTAATGTGATGCATATTTGTCATAAATAAAACATGAACCTCATCATAATTTCTGTAATAACTAATAAACTGAATGCATTCTAAATAAACAATCATCAGGTTTATATATTTATCATCAATACATTGAATTTCTTTCAATCAATACATTTTAACAATTGAATATTATATAGATCATTTTTATATTGCGAATAAAAGCCTAAAAAAAGCCTGGACTAAAAGCCTGGACTAAACTGTTCAGTTCATATGGATTAGTTATCTCTTTATGAACTTTTTGAAGCGCCAAATACTTTGCGTAGCTGTCAATGGAGGGACATTTTTGACATTTTTAAAAAAAATTAAAACATTTTGCTAACATGAGGTCTTGTGTCACTGTCAGTCTTTTTACATCAGTGCAAAACTATGATATGCAGATTAAGACCACTATTCATTAACATGCATTGATTAATCCCATGTCATGTAGAGAAAAAAAAATAAAAACAAAACAATAACAATAAAGTTGATAGCACCAGTGCAACCAGTTGAAAAGTTAGTCTGGAGCCCAGTATTACCTTTTGTGAGGTTGTTTATTCTTAATTTCATTGTTCATTCTCAGACAAAATGGTACAAAAGCGCTCACTAGGACGATACCCTTTAAAAAGGTTATAATATGTACACTTTTGGTACCAAATTTGCACCTTTGAGGTACTAATATGCACTCTTGTGGTAAAAAGGTGTACCTTCCGAAAGAGTACCGCCCCAGTGACCGTTTTTGTATCTTTTTGCTGAGAAACTTAAATTTAATAGACAAAAATAAGGGAAAATGACTGTAAACTATGGGAAGAGAGAAGGGGAATGTAATTACAACGCTTCACAGGACAAACTGCACCATGGCTCTTTAAAAAGTTTCCCAAAGTCTATTTCTAATACTGCTGAGAGGGATATTTCAGGAGCAAAAACAAGCCCACATTCCCACAATCTGTTTATTGGGGCTCTCAACGTATTAATAATGAATCAAAACCCAAATGCGACAGGACAGCCAAAAAGCCAAACTGCTAGAGCAGATTGTTGCGTGAAAACAGCACAAAATGCCATACTGTAGCGAGTCAAATAAATAGCCATGCTGTCTCCGCAAAAGAAAAATGATCGCAGGGCTGAGTGAAACCACTAAGAAATGAGAATTCCCGTTCCATCAAACCAGCCGTCCACAAAGAGACATTTTCTGAAGTCTTGCAGAGAGTTTTGAATTAAACATGGAAGTCTGGATTTAGCTGTGATAAAGCAGCTAGTGTTTAACACGAGAGATGGGCTTGTATATGCTTTAGACATAAAACTAATGACGTCTCAGAGGAACTCATGTGAAATAAATGTTACTGCAGAAGATTGATGTTCGAGCTACTTACAGACAGATTCTGCAAACTCGAGCTGTTTTTCCTCGCTCCATCTCCCCTACACACACCAACTACGCTTCAATATCTTGTGGTGCAACACAAATCATGCCCTCAAAACATATTCGGACACTTAAAAATGACATTGCATTAGATATAAAACATCAAACCAAGTGGCATCTGCATAAAACGCTGCAAGAGCTTTTCTTGACTTCCCTTTTCTGAGCCATTTTTGCTGTATAAATCCAGCTAGTATCATGACAACCAGAAAGTGTCCAAACACTCTAAGCGGGTCTAAACGAATCCATATTCAGCAAACTGCATCGAATTGATCCGTACCTTCTCCAGGGAGACGACCTGCTGTCTCTGCCTCTCGTCCAGCGTCTGACATTTGTTCTGCAATGCCCCTCTTTCCTCCTCCAGACGTAACACCTTGTCCTTCAGACGAGACTTTTCCGATTCCAGATCCCGAATGACCGCCTCGTGAGTCATCTGAGTGGCCTGCAAGCTTCCGATCTGACCTGGACAGCAGAGAGAAAGCTGGAGATAGAGCTGTACAAGAGGGTCAATGCTTTGAATGTCATCTAACGCAAATGGGAGAAATAGCCCGTAGAGGGCAGACAGTCAAAGATCCTTTCTAACTGCCAATACTGTGAATCTAGACTTTAACTATCACCAGTGATGTTTGCTTACTGATCAAAGGCAAGTAAACAAACCAAAAGGGGGAAATGATGTCTCAATATGCGACCCTAAAATGGGACAGAATGCTCAAGCGCACCTGTTTTTTCTCGTCGTAGTCGCATTGTTGCCCATCGCAGTTCAGTACTCTTCTAAAAATGGCTGGGTTGTTATAACCCAACATTGGGTCAAATATGGACAAACCCAGCCATTGGGTTAAATTTTTGAATGACATTTTTAACCCAACGTTTGGGTTTGTCCATATTTGACCCAAAGTTGGGTTAAAACAACCCAGCATTTTTTAGTGAGGAGCAGAACCGCGTCTCTTCGCTGCAGATCTTCATTTGTGCGTGACAGAGAGATTCCTGCCGCTGTTTTGACTTCTTTACACATTTTATAAGCTCTTCACGAGTTCTCAACTGGTCAAAATGGCATCATATAGGCTACGCACATACAACCAGCCCATTTAGCCCATGCACACAGCATTGTTTTGGATGTTCGGTGAGTTCCGTCACAAAATATACATAAGAAAAGCAGACCTATGAGGCTTTGAACAAATCCCTAAGCCTTTAAGTTTGGTTTCTTTAGGTTCGGTGTTAAAATGCCGATGTGAACTCTTAACTGGACCAGGACTAAATGTTTTTTGGTCTATTAGACCAAACGACCATGTGAACTGAACTACAAGTGTGAACACACCCTCTAATGCACCAGAACTAATCAAGTCCTTCAGGCTTAGGCCCCGTCCACACTACTGCGTTTTCGTTTAAAAACGGAGACCTTTTGCTACGTTTGCACCTCCCGTCCACACTAAAACGGGAAAAACGAGACAAAATGGAGGAGTTTACAAACGATGACGCAGAGGCTGACGCTCGGCTCTATGATTGGGTGTCATCAGTCATGACGTATCTTTCCCTGATTCGCCAACCACTGTTTACACCGGCGCGCGCATGCCCAGTGTTGGTGAATGGTCAGTGGTTAGTGTGGACGGAGATAAATTCTAATACGCAGGTAAAACGCTAGTGTGGACGGAGATCGTTTTCGTTTTAATTCTCCGTTTTTAAACGAAAACGCAGTAGTGTGGACGGGGCCTTATTTGAAAACTACAGGTGGCCCTCCAGGAACTAAAGGTGTGTATATGTTATATATTGCATAGTATTTATCAAATATAGTATGTTAAACAGCATGGAACAGTAAATATGGTACATTATGCATGTTTAATTCAGCAATTTCAATAATCAGCATTTAACAAAAATTGTTATTTAGCATTTTAAATTCCAATTTTGTGTACAAATGTATTAGTTTTTGGCAACCAAATATGAATAAAAAACTGTTGTTATTTTCTAAAACGAATAAAATTTGAGGTCTGAAAAATAAATAAATAAATAAACTGAAATAAAAAAAAATAAAGCAAAATATAAATATGCAAAAAACAAACAAAATCACATAACAAAATTACTAAATCTAAAATGAAAACTAAATGCATAAAAATAAAATCTACATAATTCAAAATATTAATAAATACAAGTTTCTAAATAATATTATGCTATTATGTATAAAATACCACTGCAAGAAAGAGTAAAACTTGAGGATGTTATTGCTTTCAGTTCATTTGTCTTACCGGAAATGAATGGTTAAGTTTGGTGCATTGCATTGGGGGATGCAGTATTCAAGTTTCCTTAATTTCCTTCAATTTAAGTGCCCTTGATTGTTCTGGTGATACTTTCATGTTTCTGCAGTTTCTTGTCTTTTATAGCAATAAAACTGTGTTTAATCCAAGTTAATTACATTAAAGGTAATGATATCTGCACTTTATTTCACCATAAACATTTAAAAATGCACTGGATAGTGATATGGCCTAGTGGTCAATGCATAACCGAGTTCACGCCTGGATAAAGATCTCAGAAAACGGCTTCTTCTTAATGTTAAATCCATTAATGGCGTGCAGAAAGCACATTCTCACTGTAATTACACTAAACACAAAAACAGAGCGCGAGTTGAGCGCTTCAAAACCCTATTGTTTCTCCCAGATAGAGGATCAGAAGTCTGTTTGGCATTTAGGTGTTACAGGCCCAGCTGGGTTCTGCCTCCCTCAGGGAACATTCCAGAATGTGGGTAATGAACACAGGACACACTTCTGATGTTGCCAGGATACCAGGGGCTGATCCGTAACCCCAAACTTTTGTGTCAACAACAACAGCTAATGGAGCTCTGGCACTCATTTGACACGTTGATGAATAAATCCAGTTAAGCTTTTACACTAAAAATATATTCTGATAATTAATTAAACAAAATCACTACTTCTCAGCCAATTAACTGTTTAGGTCTGAATATAGCAAATTATAAAGATAAATAAATACAAATAAAATCAGGTCTTATTTGTAAAGTTACAATAGATTTTGACTTAAAAAAAAAAGTTGTCCTACTACTACTACTAATAATAATTACTATTAATATATTCAAAAAAACATTTTTTTAAATGCATGGGCTAAATAATTGTAAATATTTGTATGAATCTAAATTCTAAGTTCTGAAATACACTTAGATATAACACACACACACACACACGCACACACACACATATATGAAGAGTTCAGATGCAAAAGCCTCTAAATGCCATTTGAAATTTTCTTCTAAAATGACCATTTTTATCAAGCTTGTACATTTAAGTTCAGTAATTTCACTTAAATGACAATTAATAGGTAATCTTCATTGCCATTTAAGTGAAATTACTGAACTTAAATATACAAGCTTGATAAAAATTATCATTTTAGAAAATTTCAAATGGCACTTAGAGGCTTTTGCATCTGAACTCTTCATATATATATATATATATATATAACTGAATCAGGTCTTAATAGTTTAACCTAAAAAGTGAATTATTGTAATAACTGTAATTATTATCATTAATAATAATAAATTCAAGGGTTAAAATTTATTAATAATGATAATAATAATAGATTTGAACCTCAAAATAATTATTTTAATATACTTTTTTAGAATTTATGAAGTAATTAGTAAAGAAGTAATGCAGTAATCAAATTACTCTGTTGAAGATGTAATTAGTTGCTAATAATTAATTCCTTTTTTAGAGCAAATTACTCGACACTGCCAATAACAATAGTAGTTACAAAATACATGCATAAAAAAATGCATGTTAAGAAAAAATATACAAACAACAGCTAACCTGTATGAATTTCATTTAATTAACTTCAAATTACTTTTTTTTATTTAAATTACGATATTCTGTATCCTGTTTGCTTCCCTTAATTCAACTTTAATTCACAGCGAGGAGTTTAGTTTGAACTTGAAGGCACTTCATTGCATTTCACTCTGAATGGAGCACACGCTTGCTGTGCATGTTGGTAATGGATTAGTTGCCTGAAGCAATATAGAAGGATAAATCAATGAAGCCGAGTGGAGTGTGCTTAAACAGTGGGCTGTGAGGTGATGGGAGAGCGTGCTCGTATATCTCATATCTCACTGGCTTTGAGCAGGATCTCGGTGGCCTGCTGTTGCACTCGGTCTCTGGACGCCTCCAGCTCACACTCCGCCTCCCTCTGCCTGATTTCCACAATCTCCGTGTCCTTGGTCACCTCCTCCAACTGTTTATGCAGATCCTGCAGAGAAGCACACAAGCAAATCAATCAGTATAACGACCAATCACCTCACATAAACCTCTCCAGCTCTCTGTTCATCACCGAGCTGCCTCTATATTTAACCATTGTGTGCTTTCTTTCCTTTGTCTCTCGCTTTCTCTCATGTCACTTTTTCCATTTTTGCTCCTCTCACAGTGTCTCCTCTGATCTCAAATTCATCCTCATTAATTGTGGATGTACACATTAGCTCTCTCTGCTTTTCATCTCTGCTCTCGCTGTCAACTTCCTGCATCGCTTTCTGGTGCCATCATCTTTTCCGTTCACTTCCAACATTGTGGAGCCAAGTCTTCGACTTTTCACTGAATTCATTTAGAACATTTATTTTGTCCGTTATATTCCAAAGACATGTTTCTTTGGTATAAGAACAAAAAGAAACAAGGAAAAAAGGATCATTTGTAGAAAAATTCATGCATTTTTCTAGATAACGATTACAACTTGAATGGTCATGTTCTGCAGTACAGAAAAAAAAAAATCAAACACTCTTTTACTCATAAGGACTATATATACATTTACAATATTTATTTAATAATGCATATTTAGGTTCATGGTTCATCCATCCATCAACCAATCACATGGCAGTTGCTTCAATGCATTTAGGGGTGTGGTCCTGGTCAAGACAATCTCCTGAACTCCAAACTGAATGTCAGAATTGAGGTGATTTAAGCAATTTTGAGCTTGGGGATGGGCCCCACAGACGGGCAGGTCTGAGTATTTCACAATCTGCTCAGTTACTGGGATTTTCACGCACAACCATTACAAAGAATGGCATGAAAAGGGAAAAACATCCAGTATGCGTAAGTCCTGTGGGCGAAAATGCCTTGTTGATGCTAGAGGTCAGATGAGAATGGGCCGACTGATTCAAGCTGATAAAAGAGCAACTTTTACTGAAATAACCACTCGTTACAACCGAGGTATGCAGCAAAGCATTTGTGAAGCCCCAACACGCACAACCTTGAGGCGGATGGGCTACAACAGCAGAAGACCCCACCGGGTACCACTCATCTCCACTACAAATAGGAAAAAGAGGCTACAATTTGCAAGAGCTCACCAAAATTGAACAGTTGAAGACTGGAAAAATGTTGCCTGGTTTGATGAGTCTCGATTTCTGTTGAGACATTCAGATGGTAGAGTCAGAATTTGGCATAAACAGAATGAGAACATGGATCCATCATGCCTTGTTACCACTGTGCAGGCTGGTGGTGGTGGTGGTGTAATGGTGTGGGGGATGTTTTCTTGGCACACTTTATGCCCCTTAGTGCCAATTGGGCATCGTTTAAATGCCACGGCCTACCTGAGCATTGTTTCTGACCTTTATGGCCACCATGTACCCATCCTCTGATGGCTACTTCAAGCAGGATAATGCACCATGTCACAAAGCTCGAATCATTTCAAATTGGTTTCTTGAACATGACAATGAGTTCACTGTACTAAAATGGCCCCCACAGTCACCAGATCTCAACCCAATAGAGCATCTTTGGGATGTGGTGGAACGGGAGCTTCTTGCCCTGGATGTGCATCCCACAAATCTCCATCAACTGCAAGATGCTTTCCTATCAATATGGGCCAACATTTCTAAAGAATGCTTTCAGCACCTTGTTGAATCAATGCCACACAGAATTAAGGCAGTTCTGATGGCGACAGACACAGTATTAGTATGGTGTTCCTAATAATCTTTAGGTGAGTGTAGTTTTTGATAAAAAATTATACTTTTATTCCGCAACAATGCATTAAACTGATCAATAGTGACAGTTAATGTTAAAATATTTTTATTTCATCATCAAGAACCTTGAAAACACAAGCAGTTTCCTGAGCAGCAAATCATCATATTAAAATGATTTCTGATGGATTGTGTGACACTGAAGACTGGAGTAATGATGCTGAAAATTAAGCTTTGCCATCACAGGAATACATTTAAATTTTTTTATATATATTTAACTTGTTTTAAATTGTTTTCACAGTAGCAGTAGTTTTAAAGAAATGTCTGGTGCCACAATAAAAATGCCGTTCTAAAATGACCCATGGAAATGTTTTAATAAGGTGACCGAGTCTCATCTGGAAAACAGCACCATGTAATTTGCTGAAAACCTTCTGGGGAATCGAAAAGCTCTTTGATTGATGCGCGTCTGATTTGCAAAACTGTGACTGCAGGCTTTTTGAATCCAATGATTTCACCTGTCAATGCCATTTTTCTTTAAAACGAAATACTCAAAGTGACGCACAAACACGTCGTACTTGAGCAACTCAGCATTTGATCAGCATAGATTAACAAAAACTAGCACGGACCGCAGGGAGTCGGATCATTATGAGCGTCGGTCTGAAAATGCCACAGTGACTAAAGATCGATTCCATTAAAGATCCGCTCAGCACACTGGCATTAACACAGGCCCAGCACACTGCCATTAAATAGCCATTATAATGTGTCATAAAAGCAAATTTACGTAAAACAAACACAATATTAATCCGTCATTGTTCCTTTGAATGAGTGTACTATAATTCAAGCCAAGCTTGTATCTTCTGATGACACCCATAAATTACACTCAGTCAGTTGCTCCATTCAGAAACAAGTCCAAGAATTGCCTTGGAGGGCCGTGGTGGATGACTGTGTTTTTCTTTCAAAGATATCGGAAGAAAAATTCAGAGCTCAGGATGTGTGCCACTGCATTTGAAGTCTCTTTGACAAATGTGCCAGAAACATCTGATGCGTTCAGACTGAAACCAAATCGCTAGTTTGACTTTCACTGCTTATGTTCTGTGTATGTCTTTAATTATTCAAAACAGGCTGCAGAGTGTAAATACTGCATTTGTTCCAACATGTGTTGATAAGGGACTTCTGAAAGGTTCAACATCAAAAAAGCATTTTACTATCATAACGTGGTGCATTTAAACAAGATATTCAACAAGAAAATACAAGCGTTTACAATGTGACCAGGTACGAGTGTATAAGGAAAAAAACTACGAGTTTAGCTGTCATTTTAACTATTAAAGGGTTAGTTCACCCCAAAATGAAAATTCTGTCAGTAATTACTCACCCTCATGTTGTTCCAACCCCGTAAGGCCTTTGTTCACAGCGTCACACTTTGTTTCCTCACAGCGTCACACTGGTTTTTATGTTGGCTTTATTGTATTTTCAGCTAATGAGCCGTTTGTAGACATATATTTGTACTATTTCTCACTGAAATGTGAATTAAATTAAACTGATATTATTTTGTAAATTATATCATAATTGAATTTGGGGGGGCACAAAATACATTTGGGGGGGCATTGCCCCCTAATGCCCCCCCATAGCGCCGGCACTGTGCGTGTGACGTACAACCTAGAACTTTGTGCAGTTTCACTACGTGAAATCTCACGGCCCACAGAGAAGGAAATTAATAGTTGAATAAAGTCGTTATTTTTGTTCGTTTTTTTTGTGCACAAAAAGTATTCTCCTCGCTTGATAAAGTTAAGATTGAGCACTGTAGTCACTCGGACTATTTTAACAATGTCTTTAATAACTTTTGGGCCGGCCAGTTTCGATGGAGGAGTGATCCAGTTCTCAGATTTCATCAAAAATTTGAGTCCGAAACTTCGGAATTTGAGTTCCGAAGATGAACGAAGGTCTTACGGGGTTGGAACAACATGAGGGTGAGTACATAATTACTGACAGAATTTTCATTTTGGGGTGAACTAACCCTTTAAGATTAGATTTTTTCTTTTAGATAAATTAGAAAATGAGATTAAACATCCAACATAAATTTTAATCTTCAACTTAATTTACTTTTCTCAGTGAAAGTGAAAAAACAGCCAATCAAAACTTTGAAGTGTAATTCAAAATTTTTATTTAATAAAAAAAAAATTGATATTGACTTCCAATGTATGGACAAAAAATACAAACGGAAGTTAATGGGAACCGTCGGTTGCTGGCCAACATTTTTCCAAATTATCTTATGTTCCACAGAAGAAAGTTTTGGAACAAACTGCATTGTTTCAAAGCAGCTTTACTGTAATGCAAAAATAAAGGAGATAAAGGGAAAAATACTTACTTGTAACACAAAAATACAAGTGCTTGTTTGTGTTGCATCTAACCCCTATCATTTAATTTCAGAAAAACAGGACGCGTGATGTATCCGATGGCCTTTACCTTGATGTTGTTCTCGGCAGAAATGAGGGAGGTCTGCAGTTTGTGGGATTTCTCCCTGCTCTCCCTGGCCTCCTCCTGCACTCTCTTCAGTTCACTGCGCAGCTTCCCCATAGTCTTCTGGAGCGCTGCTTCCTGCGCCTGGAACTCCTTCCTCAGCTCCGCCTCGGTCTTCTTCCAGGCCAGCAGGTTCTCTGCGGTCATCTGCTGCGTGCGCTTCATGGCCTCTAGTTCGCGTTCGTAGAAGGCCTGGGCTTTATTTAGCTTGGCCTCGTACTCCTCCACCAGACGCTTCTTGTCCTGTTTCAGTTCCTCAACCCTTTCGGTCAGTGAATCCACCTCCGCTTTATGAAGCTGCCCCAGTTTCTCCTGGTCTTTGCTGTAGTTGGCGTTCTGGCTTTGGTGTGAACGAAGCAGGTCTTGGACCTGTAAAAGGAACATTTATTTGAGGCAAAGTACAAAAAAACACAACAGCAAAAACAGATAGACTACAGACCCCTTTTTGCGCCAACGTCACAGTTACGTCACGGCGCTATAGCTGGAGGAAGTGAAAACTGGAGGCGGCCAATGCAAACCAGCACAGATTCGGCTACATAATAAGGAGCTTAAATTACTTTTAGTATTTATAAATGTCATCTTATTCTGTTGTTTGGTGCAAGTATGAATGAAAAATGAATATGCTGTATCTGGATTTTTTATTTCTAGAAAATAATCGCATGATTAAAATCGCACCGTAATTACACTCTTTACATTGTCGTCTTCTCTGCCCTGGCTCGGCAGAACTGCGGATCATACACACAAGTCTTGTACAGGACCATTCAGCACATAGTTATAGGCATCTAAAGATTTATATGCCCTCAGTTTCTCTTTACGATCAGTTTCTTTATAAGGTAGATGTAGAAGTCAGGCCACTCAACCGAGGTGACGTAACGTTAATCCTGTCAGATCGTCCATGCATTGAGTGAGCGTGTAGGCGGCTACGGGTCGGCCAATCTGGTTCTGTCCGTTAAAAATAACTTTTGGAAATAACAATCGTGACCCTGGACAGTGAGTGACCTTATACATTAAGATAAAATCTGATTTTCTCCAGTCATTGTTAAAAAATAAGCTAACAATACTTGCTAACTAGCGTTAGTGAAGGATCATTCTGCCTCCACCTAAGCTCCGCCCACATAAAAACGTCACCATGTTTACCAACTGAAAAGGGGTCTATTGAGTAATTATTAGGCTGCATGATTAATCAAAATAAAACCGAAATCGGGATATGGCTTAGTGCGATTATCAAATCGGCTGTGTTTTAATTAAATAAATATATGCGCTGCGTGTTTCAGAATGAAGTGTGTCATTGTTTTCTTCGACAAGACTAAAATCTGCCAGTGTCCTACAGCGTCTCAGAGCGGTTTAGTTGGCAGGAATGCTGCATCTACTGCATATGTAAGGGTTAATGCCCGACGAGGTGTCCATTGTCAGGTTTTAATGGACGACGGCGCGTCGGCCGGTTGCCTCCGCCGAAGTCCATTAAAACCTGACAATGGACACCTCGAAGGGCATTAACCCGCTTATACCATGATCACTTGCCAAATAAAACATTTTTAAAACATTAGCTGCTAGTTTATATTTTAATTAGGCTAAATCTAGTTTTTACAAATAATAACTGCCTGGTTTATTTAGCAACCGGAGATATTTATAGTCCGCTCAGCTTGTAACCCTTCAGGTTCAAAAATGCTTTTTTTTTTTTTTTTCATGAAACACAAAGGTAGGCATAGTTATTTTTTTTTATTACACATAAAACAATTAATCAAACAGGCTTCTTAGGCTTGAAACGCTGTATTCTCCTCCTGCCTTGGTTGTCTGGACTGCTGCGTAAAACTCTCATTCAGAGCAGCAGCGGTGTAATTTTCTTTGTGACATTTCTCCGTTTTATTTACATTTTTTTCTTTCTTCAGCAGCATCCCAGTCGTCAAAGTTGTCATATTCTCCATAAATGTTAAAAGAAATAACGAAGTCGCTCATTGTTGTATTAGTAGGCTATGTAATATCTAACTAACGTTTGTGATAGCGCAAATTGTTAACGGATACTTTGACTGCCTGTTGCTATGGTTACTCACAGCTGTTGTGGGCAGCGCATTTATTTATTAATTTCGAATGGTAAACAGGCAGTTTCACCAGAACTACTTTACTAGGTGTCCTCTATCACTTTTTTACGGACACCCTGCAGCCAATCAGAATCGAGTATTCACCCAGACCATGGTATAAACAGCATTATGTTATTTTTGAAAGTTTGCTCTCAGGGTCCCCCTACAGTTGGGAAACAGTATTGTCTTCTACTACTGTCGTAAATTCTGTCATGGTTACACTAGGGAACACACACGTGCATTTGTTGGCAAGCGATACCCCCGAACTCTGCAGAAGGAAGGAGTTTAGGGTCAGATTTATCAGAAAAACCACAATTCGATCTCTTCGTGCAGCCCTAACACAGACCTTTTCAAATGTAACCACAGGTAAAAAGCACTAAAAACACTCCACACACCTCATGCCGATGTGAGGAACGTAGCTCCTCGAGAGCCTGTCGTTTCTCCTGCTCAAACTGGGCCTGTAACTGTCCGAAGGAGCGGAGCTTCTCCTCGAAAGAGCGGCGCATGTCCTCCACCTCGCGGGACATGGTGACCACACGCTGCGTGTGCTGCGCCTCTGTGCACAGCTGCATGTCCTCCACCCGCTGACGGTACGTCTCGAACTCCGTCAGGGCCTGGCGCTTCATCCGCTCGTGGAGCTCCATGGACTCCTCCAGGGACTGAATGCGTCGCTTCAAGTCCATCTCGTCGCTGATCTTGCTCTTGTACTGCATGATCTTCTCCCGGGTTTCCGAGAGGATCTGCTGCACCTCTTCCTCGTGGGCCTCCTTCAGGGTCTGGATGGCCGCTTCGTGCTCGTCGTTCTTGGTGTTGAGGGCGTAGATCACCTAGAGAGGCGAGAAGATGGAAAACTGAGAGATCTACACTGGAAACCATAAAACGAAACTCGAGTGATGTAATCCAATCCAAAGTTGCACCATCTTCTAGAACATTCTACGGCTACGCGATAAAAACTGTGTTTGCTCAAAGAAAGCAAGACGTCCATGACAGATTAAAAGGATGATGAAGTCTGTGCAGACCGAGCATTATGGCAAAGGTTAAGTAAGCACTGTTTTGCTGATCTAGAGCATTTGTGCTCAATGCATTACACATGTAAAGCCACACAAGGGACCGACCGACACACTTTAGCAAGCCTTCATTGACTGACCTTTAAATCCAGAAGATTTATGTCCAGCTTAAATATGGGGAAATGTGAACATGAAAGCTTTTTCATCACACATTTATAGGCTAATTCCTTATTTACAACAAAACTTTTCTGTCCCTTACTAAACTTTTTCTGTAGTGGTTCAGACATCAAGTGACAACAAAATGCTGCATATAATTGTACAAACATGACAGTTGTTGTGTATATATATATTCAAAAACAAATAGCATTACGTAGGCTGTATAATTTTTTTTTTTTTAATTTTACGTATATAAAACTTCCTTCATATTCTAAACATTTATGCACACCCCTTCAGGTAAAGTGTTACCCCTCTTTCTAAAACAACAATACAAAAAGTTATTTTGCTATCCAATGCAATTATTATATAATTATATTGTTAGTTGCAATTTATCATTTTAATTATTTTGCAGCTTCCCGGTCTGTGACCCTATTAGAAAAGAAACGTGTCCCATTTTTGGGTTGCAACCAGCCAGCTGAGAGTCGCCTCAGACTATTGGTCCCCGAAGATGAATTATTAAAAAGATTATTTCGTTTTTTTTTTATAGCATGAATGTGTTGGCTAATGCATCAGTTCTTTAAGAACGCTAATAATAAATTCAAAACTGTACACAAAAACCTTTTTCAGACATGTTAATTTTTAATCCCCTCAATTCTTATGAGAGAGCATGAAATCTCCAAAGATAGGAGATTTCCCTCACAAAATAAAACTTTCGAGTTGCTCATGAACACTTATTATTTTTTGTTTTATTAAAATAGACTGTTTAAAATGACAATTGAACATAAGCTTAGGCACAATTCATTTAACATGATCTTTCAGCGCAGTCTCATCCCAAGACGTCATCTAACCGACGTTTAAGGGTACCCTAAAACGGCGGATGTCGATGTATGGTCAAAAGCGTCAGTTGTATGAGACTGTGTTAGATCTTTCACTGTTTTGTAAAAGTATTAGGAGATAATTAATTCCAACACCCACCATTGTCAGTCCTGGGATTTTAAAACGCACATAAACAACATTTAAAAAGCCTGATTAAACCGCTCCTATTTCTTCTCAGCCGTGATTATTTGGAAACAAAGTGACCTTCGACTGCAATTCTCATGCTTTGTGTGTCCGGCTCCCACTTCATTTCCATAATTGTCTAGACATCTGATTAGGTGAGAGCAGTTCGGCCACCTGAAAGCGGCACAATGGAGTTATCTCCTTTACAAATCCTGCTCTGTGAGGAACTGTGACTCAGTCGAAGACGTATGTGCTTCTCTCAACACATCTATAGAGGACTCTCTCCCAGGATTGACCACGGAGGATTTCATTATTCTCCAGTTTTCTTTCACCACACTATTCACACAATTCATTCTCTCAGCCAGACAAAATTGAGCTGATAAGGGCACCAGTGGACATAGAAGAAAAGGTGGTTCGGTTACTTTGACTGTGTTTGCTCTCTCTCAGTCTATGTCGATGCCTGAAGCCTATCCCAAGCGATATGCAAAAACTAGCCATATCTGTTGTGTTATCTGCTCCTTTACAGTGTGAATGGGGAAATCTTTACAACCTGTTTAAGCGGTCTCGTTTAGTTTCCACCTTATCGGAACCAAAAGATGATAGTCCCGCTTTATAATACCAATGCAACTGCCGGACTTGTGAAGCTTTATTTATGCATATTATGTAATAAATAATTTTTTTGAACAGTATTCTAACTCATACTTATATTTTTGACTCTGACTGCAATGCTATTTTTATGAAGGACCAGAATACACTCTAAAAAAATGCTGGGTTGTTTCGACCCAAATTTGGGTCAAATATGGACAAACCCAATTGTTGGGTTAAAAATGCAATAATTTGAAGTTAAAAATTTGAAATTGCATTTTTAACCCAACATTTGGGTTTGTCCATATTCTACCCAAATTTGGGTTAAAACAACCCAGCATTGTTTATAGTGTAATGTATCCCCTGTAGAACCTTTCATGAGAGGACGTGTAAATAATAAGACTAGATATCTATCTGTGCCACAGTCAACAGTGAAAGGCAAAACACAGTCCTGAGAGGTTGCTCATGAAATGAAAGTGGCAGCCATCCTGTAGGACTATATTAAAATTCAGTAGGCAGTCAGAGTGCCAGCATTCATTTTCAATCTCACCCTGGAATTCACTCGACCTGATGCACACTGACTGACAGTGAGAAAAATACTGCTGGAACGCTCTAGCTATTTCACTTGCAAAGAGAGTAAATTTGGGCTATTATGTTTAAGTCTAGTCATATTTTTTCTGGAAATGTTAAATTGGTACACAGCCAGTACGATGCAAAAATTGCTACTATGCTGTAAATAAAAAAGCCAAAGCCATGAGCCCTGCGCGTATAGCTAGCTAATCGAGCGAGCAAGCCATCTAGACAAGATTTAAAGACATTATTACGCTTCCGACCTGGCGTCTCTTACCATTTTTGACCGGGTTCATCTATTCAAAAGTTGACTGGATTATACTTGATGTGTGTTTTGAATTGAGTTCTGACCAACAATTGAGAATTACATAAAATACAAGATTTTTTTTTGGACGCCTGCCTATGTAGATAATAACCAAAGCAGCTCCCAATGTTTTAGAACAGCCTTTGTAAATGGGGTTTCACACAATTATTGGTCTTTTTTGATTTGCCACACTGGCTTAATCTTTAGTCCATAAATTTGGCAGTCAATGAGTTTTCGGCCCACCCAGAAGTGGAATATGAGAAAACCCATTAACTCCCAAAACACTGGGAAGTCTTAATCACTTTCTACTTGAATCTGAAAGTCATTACAACTGTTCCAACATCAGTCAACAAGACCAGACTATGATGATGATAATTACAGTCATTTGCAATGGTGCAAAGTGAATACCATATTGTTCAATGTGTATAAAGGCTGTCTGTAAATTGGTCCAGATAACTTTTGGGTGACAAAGTGTTATTGTGTGGCTTCAATCACAGTCTGTTTCACAAGATGTGGCTCGATTGGAGATTAAAACGGGTCTATAATGTGCAATGAGAGCTTTCCTCACAGCTATCGACTTGGCTTCAAGCTTCAGCCGATTATATATACAATATTCTCTGTTTTAAAGAATGATGGACCATGTAAAATAACTACATATCCATTCTCCCCAGCTCTTATAGATTCCGCATTCTCTGGGATGGTACTGTAATTGGCAGGCTTATGAATATTCATTAAGTGAGGAAATGGGTTATAATGAAGTCGAGATATAGTGCTAATTAGTGTAATTATATGCATGGTATCCACTAAACTGCAAGGCACACCTTCAACGAAGAGGTAATTAAAGAAGTTAAAGAACAGTTTGGTCTAACAGAGACAAAAACAAAATGGTGTAGACGACTTGCCTCAATACTGTGGGCATTAATCATGATTAAAAGGATCATAAAGGGTTTTGTAGCTCTAATTTCTTGCGAAGCAAATGGGCACAGACTGCAGAGAACCTGCAGGTTTAAAAAACAATTGCGTTTGGTCCCTTTGGTTTCATAGCAAAGTGTTTCTTAAATTTTCACAAATGTCAACTTCCTTTACATTATGCAAAAAGTGAGAGGGATTTAATTTCTGAAAGTCTACAGTTGAAGAAACACCCAGAGAGTTTGGAAGGTCTTCCAATCATAAGTCATGACTCATGAGGGTAAAACTTACTTGCACTATAGTTCAAAAGTTTGTGGTCATTATTTTTTTTTTTAATGAAAGAAATTAAATTCATCCAGCAAGTAAATATTGATCAAAAGTGACAGTAAAGAAATGTATGTAAAAATAAAATAAATAAAAAATAAATAAATAAAATGTGACAGTAAAAATAATGTTCCAAAAGATTTCTATTTGAAATAAATGCCGTTCTTTTTTCTTAGAAAAGCATATTAGAATGATTTCTAAAGGTGACACTGAAGACTGGAATAATGATCACCATCGCATGAATAAATTACTTTTTAATTTGTTCCTGTATTTTTGTACAAATGCAGCCTTGGGGAGCTTAAGAGACTTTTTTACTTACCGACCCCAAGTTTTTGAACAGTAGTGTACTTAACATCCTAAGATATCTGTGTGAAAAATGACAGTACATTTAATTGACAAGTAATAAGAGAGCAGAATGTTTCCAACACATTTACATATATTTAACTTTTGAAGGTGACAGAATTTTAAACACAAGTGGTAAATCATATTCAGTCAGAAATATTAACATTCTTAAAATATTCAATGAGGTTTAACTCTTTAATAGGCAGGTAAATCCTACCTTTCCATAACAGCTAAACTAAACCTGTTGGAAAAAATCTGTAAAATATCTGACCACATCTAAAAATGTATTCAAAAGACATTTACATTTATTCATTTAGCTGACGCTTTAATCCAAAGCGACTTACAATTGCTATATATGTCAGAGGTCGGGTGCCTCTGCAGCAACTAGGGGTTAAGTGTCTTGCTCATTGGTGTCTCACAGTGGATCCGAACCCAGGTCTCACACACCAAAGGCATGTGTCTTATCATTTGGCATATGTCATGCATTTAAGATCTAGCATATACACTCTAAAAAATTCTGGGTTGTTTCAACCCAAGTTTGGGTCAAATATGGACAAACTCAAATGTTGGGGTAAGAACACAATTAAAAAATTTACAGTTTAAAGTGAAAGTTGAAGTTGGGTTAAAATTT